AAAGGGTCTTAGCTCGTTTTTTGGGTTGTTTTTTTTTTTCCATGCTGCAAGGGATTGAAAGCACCAAGTCCTAACCACTCTACCACCAGGAAATTCCCAGCTCATTATCTTTTTAATTAAAGATCTGGAAGAGAAAGTATATAGTGAAAATTCCATATAGGATTCTTGGAGAATGAGAAATCAAATTAATGGAATGTGCATATTTTCTTGCTTTGGTTCCCAAATCATTGCTAACAGTCAGCATTTTGTAGGCCGGTTTGCTCCAGGAATGTACGAGTGTTTCCATCCACTCAGCATACATCCATCAGGTGCCCCCACGTGCCAGGCACTGTGCTGGGTCCAGACACGTGTCCTACGTATTGTTATTCTGCATTACAGAAGTGGGATTGCATGCTTCTTCCACTTGCTTGTTTTGTTTACTGATGGATGGTAAACATCACAGTGCAAAAAACTACCTCACCCTTTTTAGTATCTGCCTGGTGCCATTTTCCCATGAAATGCTTATACAGTAATTTAATCAGTCCCCTCTTATTGGGCATTTCCATTATTTCTGGATTGCACGTATACCAATATAGCCTGAAACATTCCTGAACTCTGATATTGCACATGTGGAGTGTTTCTGAGGATAGCTACCCAAGTGGGCATACTCAGTCAAAGGATCTATATGCTTTCACATTTTTGATAGATGCTGATGAATTTGCCTGCAAAGCATATCTACTTCAATTTTAATAACCCCCAAATTACCATCTGGCAATGCTCAGTTTCTCAAATCCCTACCCACATTGGATATTATATTAGTTTCCTATTGCTTCTATCACAACTTATTGTATGTTTCTTGTTCAATCGTATTTGTTGTTGTTCAGTTGCTCAGTCATGTCTGACTCTTTGAACCCTATGGACTACAGCACGCCAGGCTTGCCTGTCCGTCACCATCTCCTGGAGTTTACTCAAACTCATGTCCATTACGTTGGTGGTGCCATCCAACCATCTTATCCTCTGTCATCCCCTTCTCCTCCTGCCTTCAGGTTTTCCCAGCATCAGAGTCTTTTCCAATGAGTCGGCTCTCACATTAGGTGACCAAAGTATTGGAGCTTCAGCATCAGTCCTTTCAATGAATATTCATGATTTCCTTTAGGACTGACTGGTTTGAGCTCCTTGCTATCATATCCACTATCATAAACTATCATATATGTAGTGGTTTAAAAACAGCAGGAATTTATTATCTTACAGTTCTGTAAGTCAGAAGTCCAATGCTGAACTGAAATCAAAGTGTTGGCTGAGCTTTGGGTCCTTCTGGAAGGTCTAGAGAGATACTGATCTGCAGTCCATGGTGCATCCATATTCAAAGCCAGTGAGGTCTGGATGACTCGGTGGGTGGGGCCTTGGCACATGGCTTTGCTCTGACACTGACTCTGCTGATCCTTGCAATGCAGTAAGCCCCTTACCATTACACTGGATGCCCCTGCATAACCTGGGCTTCTTTTCCTTACGTCAGGTCAGCTGATTAGCACCCTTCCACCCATGACTTTATCCCCTTGCCATGTAACATGACATGCCCACAGCTCCCAGGGAGGAGGGTGTGGTCATTGTGCAGAGTCCGGCGGCGGTGGTGGGGGGGGGGGGGAATCAGTGTTCTGCCTTCTGCAAATAGGATCAGCCTTTTGTTTCTGTTCTAAGTGAAAACATGGTACCCTGCCCTTTTAAGTCATGTCTTCTTGGTTATTGGTGAGGTCAAATATCTTTTCTGTGTGAGGAAAACAAATTAGTTTCTCTGGCAGTAAGTTGTCGGTTCTTACCCTTCTTTCCTTTTCTGCTGGGTTGCCTTTTTAAAATTGAATGATAAATCTCTGAGGGCAAGGGCCTTCTTATATTCACGTTTGCATCTCAGTGCTTCAAAATGTAGCCCAGTTCAGAGAACAGCCTTGGTGCCTGTGGGCGCTCTGCTTTTCTCTCCCTCACTCCTACACCAAGCTCTTGCTGTTCTGTTTTGGAAAATATGTCAGGATGCCTCTGGTTGAACTGGCTGAGTCGAGTCTGTGTCCCGGAAGGCTTGGTGGCTGAGTGCTTTCCTTATGGACACTGGGGTCACACAGGCTGAGAGCCCTGCCCCCGGCACAGCCCCTGATTCAGGAGGCTCTGCCACCGTCTCTGAGCCTCAGTTTTCTCACCAGCAAGAACAGCAGTGGCGGCATGCTGACCTTTTTGGGTTGCTGCGTTGGGAGCCAGGCACAAGAGCGACTCCTTCTGAGAGGCAGCGCCTGCTTGCTGACCTGCTGCACTTCCCATGGTGATGGAAGCCACGGGCGGCGCCATGGGCGGGGGGTGGAGGGGTGGGCAGCTGGGCCAAGATGAATGGGACTCTGGGGAGACCCAGAGAAGAGCAGTTTTAGGTCATTCTGCAGGGTGATGGGCCGTATGCTCTCTTTCTGTTACTGAACCAAACTTGGGCCCGCTTGCCCACATGCAGTTAGGCCAATCTGCTGACACCAGGTCGTGGTGAAGGAAAGTGCAGCCTTTGTTGTAAGGCCAAGCAGGGAGTGCCAGTGGCTAGAAGACAAAAGACCTGAAATCCCTGATGGATTTCAGAGAAGGGTTTTTGCTTTTAATTTTTATTGGAGTAAAGTTGATTTAGGATGTTGTGTTAGTTTCAGGTGTAGAGCAAAGTGAATCTGTTATATTTACATTCAGCCACTCTTTTTTTTTTTTTTTAATTATTTTCCCATATAGGCCATTGCAGAGTATTGAGTGGAGTTGCCTGTGCTCCGTAGCAGGTTCTTATTAGTTTGGGGTTGACAAATACACATTACTGTATATAAAATGGATAACCAATAAGAATCTGCTGTAGGGCACAGGAAAGTGTTTTTCAAGACAGGGAGAGGGAGAGAGTTGCACCTGTGTGTGATCAGCTCGTGGACAGTCTTCTGACTGGTTGGTGGCGAGGTAAGCAGGAGTCAGTATCATCAACCTTCTGGTCCCAACTCTTCCCGGGTCTGTGTGTTTGTGGTCGGCATATGGGTAACTCCTTCCACCTGGTGGGGGTTTTAGTGTCTGTCAAATAGCTGAAGGTTATGGCTCTGAATACTGTCTGTAGTCCTGGAGGAGGCGCTAAAGGTCCTAAACTTTGTTTAATGGCTAAACTATTATTTTGTTTTGCTTGACTATTTTCCTGTGGTTCTGCATTTTCTCACTTCTCTGATTAAATTTGTTCTTTGGAACTCAGGGAAAGCCTTAAAAGGCTAAAGTTACTCTACCAACAGGAGGCAAACAGAGGCCAGGGGATGGGGGTCTGTCCCAGGGAGGCCCCAGAGGGCCCTGCTCGGTTACACTTGGACAGTTTTTTTGAGAAGTGACAGAAGAGATTCGAATCCCTTTCCACTTATTCAGAGGCGTCAGAGCCCTGGTCTCTGCTGGAGCCCCTGGTGAGCGTAGAGCCTGGCACATGCGGGTGACTTGAACCGTGTCCCCAGGCTGGCCGCCTCCTCATCATCCCTCAAAGGGGCAGTGGGGAGATGCTGTCCGCTGGGACTGATGGTCCTCTTTGCTGGGCGAGCCTTGCTTGGTGAACAGAAGCATGACCTGTGCTCTGGGGTGTGCCAGGCTGGGGATCAGTGCCAGGCCAGGGCTACAGCTGTCCAGTTCAGGGGCCAAGCCTACAAATGCCCTGGACTGAATGCGCATCTTCTCAGGCCTGCAGTGTTGACCAGGGGACACACCTGTCACTCCTAGGAACAGAGCTTCTTTCCCTTGGCTGCCTGGCCAGAGCTTCCCTGCTGATCCCTAGGCTTGTACTCTCACTTTCGCCCTGGGGGTGTCCTTAGAAGACCCTGTTCACGGTCTCCTGTCCACACCCATTAGCCCTAGGTCCTGCAGCTCAAGAGCACTCAGGCCAGGGCCTGCTCATCTGGGCCTCTCTGGGTCTGGCTCCACGCTTGCTTTCAGCATGGCACACGCCCAGGCAGAAGGAGAAGGCAGGTCCCTCCCTCCCCTCAACCCTTCCAGAAGGCTTGCTGGGGCCCCAGGACACCTGCCTCAGGAGAGTTTCTCTCCGTGGGTCTCAGACAGCTGCATCTGGAGCCCTAAACCCCCTCACAGCCAAGGGCAGGTGGTGGAGGGGAGCCCCCCTACCCTGAATACTGTACTATCCTGGGGGGCCCCTTGGCCTCCAAGCCTCAGTTTCCAGCTTGGCAGTGTGGGGCAAGTAACCCCCCCCTGCTCCCCGGTGGTGGAGTCACAAAGGGAGGTCAGGGACATGGAGCCCGCCGGGGCTGGCCCCATGAGGGGTTGTCAGTGGTTGATCTGATGCCCCTCACTTCCTCTGCCCTTCTTTCCCTCGGAAGCTGCCAGTCCAGGCCTCAGCCTGACAGCAGGTCTGGAGCTAAAGTAGCAGTGACGGCTGACTGGCCGGGCCACAGCGGCCTCTCCCGGGGCCTCCTCCCTCTCCTGGGCCTCGGGGTGGAGAGATGCCTTCTCGCCTTTCTTCACTCTCTCTCCTGCCGAGCAGGGCTGGCAGCCTTGAGAAGGCACCTGGGCTAGAGGGCGCGGTGCCAGCCACACCCTCCTCCTTCCACACTGGCAGCTCCTTGCCGGGCAGCCCTGGACCCCAGACCAGGCCCCCCAGGAGGGCCCCCTGTAGCCGCCCCGGTGCGCAGTCTCGGCGCCCTTGCCCGCGCCGTCAGCAGGGCCTGCTGGGCCCGGACCCCAGCCCTCCTGTGCAGCCGCCTGAGCCTGGAGCCTGGAGCCCATTAGCTCTCCTCGTTAAATCCGTCTGCTCTGCCTTCAAGAATGGCCCAGCGTCTCTGTGCTCCCGCCCCGGGTGTGTGAGGGGGAGGGCTGTACACAGACTCTGCCGTGTGCGGCTCCCTGCAGGGCGGCAGCCTGGGCGTGCGGGGCGGGTGAGGGCCCCGCTGGCCTGCAGGCCATTCCAGGCTTGGCCCTTCCCGGGCGCGCGGGTCAGCTGGTCTGCGTGTCACTGACGAAGCCGCTCCCTCCTCCCCCCACAGGAGTGCATCATTGACGAGGACTGCGGGCCCAGCAGGTACTGCCAGTTTTCCAGCTTCGAGTACTCCTGCCAGCCGTGCCGGGACCAGCAGGCCGTGAGTGTGCCCAGAGACCCCGGGGCAGCAGCACCTGAGCCGTGGGGGCCCAGGCGGGGGCACCTGGGGGAGGCGGCCAGCAGCCCACGGTTCTCAGTGGGGCTCCCCGAAAGCCTCCTAAAGGGCCCAGCCAGGGCCACACTTGAAAGAGCCAGTCCATGGTGCCCAGTGGGGCTGACTCCTGGGGTGATCAGGAAGCCGTCTGCAGACATGCTGCCACTCTGCCCGCCTAGTGATCTCTGGCCTCATCGCCTGCCTCACAGATACCAGAGATGGGGAGAGAGGGCTGAGGAGGAGGCCCCACGTCGTCTCTTCCCTGGGGAAGACCCATCCCAGTAGACACAGCCAGCAGCAGCAGGGCAGCCCTTGGGCAGGGAAGGGGCAACCCACCCCCCACATCTTCCTCCCAGTCTGCTCTGAGATGGTAGAAGGGGGCCCAGGAAGAAGCCAGAACATATTCCAGATGGAGCTTCCACCAGGAAACAGGAAGCTGGGGAAGAGAGACTTTACTTCTGCCCAACAGATGCTTTGGTCCAGGCCATATATAGACTTTCTTGTCCTTGCTGTTATTAAGGCAATCACACGGCCTGATAGGGCTTCCCAGGTGGTGCTAGTGGTAAAGAACCCACCTGCCAATGCAGGAGACACAGGAGAGTGGATTCAGTCGGGAAGATCCCCTCGAGGAGGGCATGGCAACCCACTCTAGTATTCTTGCCTGGAGAATCCCATAGATGCTGGAGCCTGGTGAGCTGCAGTCCATGGGGTCCCAAAGAGTCAGACATGATTGAGCAACTAACCCTCCCTCCCTCCCTTCCTCCCTCATAACAAGTTTAGGAAGTCGAGGGCTTCTTGCTGCCCCGCCTGGCCCTACCTGCGCTTGGGCGGCTGCTGGGTGCCACACTCTCTGTGTGACTCCAGGGCCGAGGTGCCCAGGGCCCGCCCATCCATGGGGCTGCCCAGGCTGGGGCCTTAATCAGGCAGTCAGATTCACGCTCTGCCTGTGTCTGTGGGCCGTAAGCCTTCTTCCTACCTAACAAAAAGGAGGCGAGGTCCAAGTCTGTGGGGGAACCGAGACGATGCGACCATCCTTTGAACAATCTCGAGCTGCAGATGCCATGTCCTCTACCTGCCCAGCTCTCACCTCCGCCCCCCTTGGTATCCCTAAAAGGCCCCCAGACCTAGAAGCTTGGTTTCCTCCTGTCTGTAATGGGAGGAGGATGTGGGTTAGCTGACCTGTGCTGTCTCCAGGATCGGGGGTCGGAACAGGCTGGCCTCCCCAGGTCTGTGAGCAGCCAGATCGTATATCCTCCCTCCTACTGCAGGTCTGCACCCGAGACAGCGAGTGCTGCCGAGACCAGCTGTGTGTGTGGGGTCGCTGCACCGAAGCTTCCGCCGCGGGCGGTAACGGGACCATCTGTGACAACCAGAGGGACTGCCAGCCGGGGCTGTGCTGTGCCTTCCAGAGAGGTGTGCGGCTCCCCTCGGCACTGGACAAGCCCTGTCCCGAGCGCCAACACACTGGGCCTCGGGGGCCCCGTCCATGCCACCACACCTTTTCAGGGACCCCCTCCTGCGCAGGGTCCCCGGTATTCACTGCTATGTGTCCCAGCCCCATGACCTCTGCCTGGGGCCGAAGGCCAGCTCTCTGTGTCCCTGTCTCATTTGGGGAGGGGGGCCGTGATGCCTCGAAACTACATTCTTTCAGGATGCATGAGCCTGAGGGAGGGACACCTCTAGATGTGTGGACGAGGGCATCCTACTCCTCTCATCCCCAGGCCCACCCACTTTCTTGCCAGTGGCCCCCTTTTGCACTGCCCCTCCCAGGTGAGGCTGGCTCAGTGCTCTCCCAGCCACGGGTGTTTCTGAAGGCCTCCCCTAGCCCCTCCTCCACCCCAGTCTACCGGTGCCGGCTGCCCCAGCAGTTTTCTTCAGGGACATGGCTCGCTGGTAGCATTCCTCTGGGAGCAGTGGTTGCTCCTGTCCTGTCACTTCAATTAGACCCTTCAGTTGGCCTTCCAAGGCCTTCGCTGGGTCCAGCTTACTTGTCCTCCTTTTCTCTCCACTCACTCCTCAGGTCTTTTGGGAATCTCATTGCCTCAACCTTTCTCACCAGCCCAGCCTCAGGCCTTTGTTGGTTGTGTATCCACCCCCCTTTTTTTCTGTTTTTCTGTTTTCTTTTTATATTATATATATATACACACACACACACACACATACTTTTCATATTTTCATTATACAAATGTATTTTCAGTGTAAGAAAACTAGAAGGTACAGATAAGTCTTATCTATATCCTTCCAGATTGTTTTTCTTTGAACACATATATGTGTATTTTGTTGCAGTAATTCTTGCCTGTCCAAAAATACTTCATTGCTCTTTTCCAGTCTTAATTTCTTCAGACCTCTGGCCTCAAAACCCAGCACAAGCCCATCTCTTCCAGGCAGTCCTAATTGCTCAAGCCTTTTCAGCTTGTTCCCTCCTGAGGCCATGCTGCTATTCTTGTTTCCTATCATTCCATGTCTTCAATCCTAACGCCTACTTTGGGATTCACAGTGGAAGGTGGGGGGCTGCACCCCATTTCTCTGATCCTTCTCTTGGTGCCTGCCTGGTGCTGGGCATGCAGACGTGGCTCTTGGCCGGTTCTAGGTCTGCTGTTTCCTGTGTGCACACCCCTGCCCGTGGAGGGTGAACCCTGCCACGACCCTGCCAGCCGGCTTCTGGACCTCATCACCTGGGAGCTGGAGCCCGATGGAGCTTTGGACCGATGCCCATGTGCCAGTGGCCTCCTCTGCCAGCCCCATAGGTGAGGCCCCACCTGCCCTTCCTGTCGAGGGTCGAGAGCAGAGGAGGTGCCACCCAGTGGGGACCCAGGAGCAGAAGTTGGGGGGCGATGTGGATTTAAGACAGGTTTAGTTTGAGGTGTCCTTGGGTTTTCCAGATGGAGGGCCCAATAGTGATCTCTAGAATGAGGGCTCAGGAAGTGTGGCCAGGGTACAGATTTGGGCTCATCCAGGTGGGGAGTTGAAGCCTCCTGGGTAGATGCCCTTCAGAAAAGACTGGGTGGGGAGGGCTCCCAGGCCCATCATGATGACGACCAGAGAAGAGGGCAGAGGAGACAGAAGGTGCAGCCAGAGAGGCAGGCGGGGACCCGGGACAGCGGCCAGCAGATTTAGAGGCCGTGGAGGGATGCGAGGCATCAGGCCTGCTGGAGGCTGGTTTCTCAGTGTGCGTCTCACTCAGCGGCCGCTGCTCTGCCTTCTTTCCCAGCAGAATCCAGGGTGGCTGGGCAGGCAGATAGGACTCTGGGCTCAGCCCACGAGGCCCAGGGCTCCCCATGGGCACAGCGGGTGAGCTCTCAGGGGCTGCTTCTGCCTGGGGGCCCGGGCAGGCAGGGGGCTGTAAGCGGTCAGACCTCGGAGTCCTTGGGGTTGCCCCAGCGGGTCAGTCACAGGAGGACAGACCTGCACTAGACACGGGAGAGCTGCCCTTTGAGGACACCTGTCACGGGTGACCCTCCATCAGCGTGTTTGAAGGCAAGGGTTAGGGGAGGTTGAGCTGAGGTCGCGCATAGGGCGGGGCCTTAGTTGGAGGGCTCCCGATTTCTCCCTCCACAGCCACAGCCTGGTGTATGTTTGCAAGCCCACCTTCATCGGGGGCCGTGACGAGGACGGGGAAAGCCTGGTGCCCAGAGGGGCCCCTGATGAGTATGAAGATGGCGGCTTCATGGAGGAGGTGCGCCGGGAGCTGGAGAACCTGGAGAGGAGCCTGTCAGTGGAGATGGCTCTCGGGGAGCCCGGGGCTGCCTCTGAGCAGCTGGAGGGAGAGGAGATTTAGACCCAGGCTTGTTGTGTGGGTAGATGTGCAATAGAAGTAGCTAATTTATTTCCCCAGCTGTGCCCCTAGGTGTGGGCTCACCAGGCTTTTTTCCGTGGCCTCTTCCCAGTCCATTTTCCTTCTGGCTTGAAACAACATGAGGGGCTGCACCCTTGTCCAGCACGCCCTGCCCCACTGTGCATCATCACAGCTCTGGTGCCCGGGGAATACTGGGGTGTGGGAGGCTGAAGCAGAACAGGGCTGCTAAACTGGTCCAAAGTATTGGCGGCTCCGCCTCTGCTGGTTGGCAGATGGCACGTTTAGTTTTGGATGATATTGCCTTGAGTGTTTTTCGGGGGGAGGGGATGGGAGAGGATGCAGAATTTCCCCATGATGGGTTTTAGGGGAATGTGGACTCTCAGACACGTGGAGAAGGATGCCCTGCTTTGCAAATGTAAACCTGTGAAAATGCAACCAGTGAATCTGTCATGCTGTTCCCGCCGTGGGCACAGGCACGCGCTGCCCTGAGCTGCTGCAGGTGAGATGTCTTCCGCCTGCATTCGTCCTCTCAGCAGTGTTACTCAGCTCCTACCTCTGTGCCAGGGCAGCAGTCCATGTCCTCTCACCACAGCCTGCTGAAGGGGGATGTTGGTCTCCCCGTCAGTCAGGATCTTGGAGTCAGAGATGTCACCTTGCTTGCCCAAGTCACACAGCTCATGAAGACCACAGCGGATTGCTCAGGTGTGACTCCGTGCCCCGTGCTCACCCTACTGCTCCCCATCAGCTTCCGTGTGCCAAAAGTCCCCCCTGTGAGGAGGAGGAGATTTTTCTTCCCTTTTTTTTTTTGAGGCACATCTGGAACTAAAGTCAGACTGGTTCACGTGTCCCTGTAAAGTTAAACTTCTACTGTTAGAAATACAACAGGCCCCGCGCTGTGGGGGTGGCTGTCATTCTAGTGGAGACAGAAAGTACTAACACGGCCCCCTGTGGCACTCAGTCACATCAGTAGCTTTGAAAGTACACATGACTGGAGCATAATATATGTTAACTTGCCAGAAACAGTACTTAGGTAATCGTAGGGCCAGGATTATAAATGAAATTTGTAAAATCACTTACCAACAACTGAGGACCATTATCAGCCACATGGAGAAAAGCAAACCAAGCAAGGCTCTATGAAATACGGTTGTAATATCCAAGCTGAGAGCACTGAATTGTATGCTGTTCCATAAATGATATTTTCAGGTGTCATGGACTGTTTCCATCATGTATGCATCCAGAGTTGTTAAATGTTAAAGTCACAATTGTATAAGCATGCTTTCTTTGAGTTTTAAATTATGTATAAACACATATGTTGCATTTAGAAACCAAGCATAAATCACTTAAACTACTCTTTTGTAACTCTTGGACTTCTTTTTTTGACTTTAAATAGAAAACCCTTTCAGCCAGAAAAAAAAAAAAAATGAACTGCATTGTCCAAAAAGGAAAAAAAAACCTCCATAAGGCAAATTTTCCAGGCAATTGAAGCATCAAAATATTTTAGAAATGTTAACCATTTTTGGATGGGGATTAGTCCTCAAGAATGTCAGTGCTTCACTGTCTCTGGAAGAGTAAATGGAATTGTAAGCCCCTTCTGGGGCTTCCCTGGTAGCCCAGCTGGTAAAGAATCTGCCTGCAATCCAGGAGACCTCAGTTCAATTCCTGGGTCGGGAAGATCCCCTGGAGAAGGGACAGGCTCCCCGCTCCAGCATTCTTGGGCTTCCCTGGTGGCTCAGATGGTAAAGAACCCGCCTGCAATGCGGGAGACCTGGGTTCAATCCCTGGGTTGGGAAGAGCCCCTGGAGGAGGACACACCAACCACTCCAGTATCCTTGCCTGGAGAATCCCCATGGACTGTAGCCCACCAGCCTCCTCTCTCCATTGGGTCGCAAAGAGTCGGACAAGACTGAACGGCTAAGCACAGAACACAGTACATGCCCCTTCTGAGGGGAGGCTGCTTTAATCAACTGCAGTTCTGGACCGAACACAGATCTTCAGGGACCATAATTCATAATAATAAAGCTACTATATATGAAGGTCAGGGTGACATATGGGTGATAGACACCAGATTAGATGGTATATTCACATCTGTCTTCATTTACCCATGTTTAAGCTTCATTAAACCCATGAGTATTTTCTTCATTTAGCAGATGAAATGGAGACTCAAAAGGCTGAAGAGACGTCAAACAAAAACAATTATCTGGTACAGTATGCCCAGGATATACTGATAAAGATGCGATATACAGCTGTTCTCTTTAGTGTCAACAATCAGGACCACTCTGCATCCTTATTACTCACCAGATACTCAGGCCCAGGTGCTGTGATATGCCCCAGGGGCATCAAGTTGATCCAGACAGGGTCCCTTCCCTGAAGGTATCCCGGCCTAGTGAGGGAGATACACTGAATGCAGCATTGACAGAAAGCAAGCCATCAACCCGATATTTGCAGTGTTACAAGAGCCTGAAGGAGCACGTGGCTTGGGAGAAGCCGGGTGGGAACTGGCTTTCGAAGGTGATAGTTGCTTAGGAGGGCAGAAGGAACAGGAAAGGGCATTTTGGGCCACAGGTGGAGGCAGGCAAAGAGGAGGGATGGTATAGAAGGGTAACTGCAAGTAATGCACAGTGGCTGGGAGGTGAGGTAAACTGAGCATTTGGAGAAGAGGCTGAGAACTACTTCATCCAAAAATTTATTGAGTGCCTACTAAATGTCAGGCTCTATGTAAGGTGTCAGGGAGACGGTGGTACATGAGATAAAACCAGGCTCCTGTCTCCTGGAACTTATATGCAGGTATGTTATCTTGTTCTTCTTTGTCATCATAGCCACAAAAATGTAACAACATGAGAGGCTTGACTCAAGTAGCTGGTATATCTCGACTCACGATTCTAAGTGGAATGTATAAAGGGGAGTGGAGTTTGGTACTGGCATCGTCCTGACTACCCTTCCCAGGAAGGGAAGCAGCTTGGGAACTGGCTTTCAAAGATGACAGTTTCTCAGGAAGGCAGAAGGAATAGGAAAGGTTAGGCAGGAAAATGCGAGTACCAAACTATCACGTAAGGTAAGTATTCACAGGGTCTGGGGTTTAGGATACGAATATCTTTTGGGGCTGTTATTCTCCTTACCACAGAATGATAAATGTCTGGGTCCCCTTGAATTTGTTGAGAAGGAAAGCAGTCCTGCTGTCAGCTATTTCTGGATTCCTTCTAAAGTCAACCACGAACAAGACAAAGTGCTGTTAGTCTATGTTGTTTGAAATAAAAAAACAAGCAAAAGGCGAACAAAATACAGCTTTATGAATCCCAACCCACCTGCCTTCCAACCTGCAAGGGGAAAGCAAGTTTAGAAAATAAAGTGTTTGGGTGTTTGGTACAAGCTCTGAGTTTGAGCCCCACCTTCTGCACAGGTGACTGGCTGGCTTGTCCACCCACCCAGTCTTAGACTGAGGAGGAGTATAATAGAACAAAAATGATTGCTGCTGCTTCTTCCCAGCTTCCTCTTCATATTGTCTTCCTGTTCCCACTTTTTACTCCTCCAAGTTGTTTCCAGCCTCCCTACCCTGTTTCTTTGGGCTTTTGACACTCAGGACAAAGCGGGTGTAAGGCAGAAGGATGAGAGCTGAAAAGAGAAACAAGGTGGTCTGCTGTGGTGGAAGAGTGGGATAAGGGGCAGGAAGTACTCCTGGGGTCTGTGCATCCCCACCAGAGTCAAGAAAGCTGACTAGATTAGAGATTATGATTTGATAGCCAGACCGGGTTTCTAAAGGCAGAGAGCCGAGAGACTGCTGAGAGGTGTTGCAGCAGCAGCTCAATCGCCCTGCGTAAGATGACAAAAGACCTGGTAAGAAATCCCCTTTTGGAAGACCACAGTGTTTGGAAAACAGGTTATTTCTCTATCTGACTTCCCATGAGGCAGAGGCAATAAAACTAACATGGATGCAACTAGAAATAGTCGTAATAAGTCAGAAAGACAAATACCGTTATCACTTAGATGTGGGATCTAAAGCATGACATAAATGAACTTGTCTATGAAACAGAATCATGGACATAGAGAACAGACTGGTGATTGCCAAGGAGGAGGGGAGTAGGGCAAGGATTGGGAGTTTAAGATTAGCAGATGCTAATTGGTATATGTAGAATGGATAAACAACAAAGTCCTACTGTATAGCACAACAAACTATTCAATATCCTGTGATAAACCATAATGGGATGTACGTGTGTGTGAGACAGTAACCTCACCACCACCAACAGGAGGCTGCTCTTTGCCATTTTCCACCATCCATAGAGTTAGTGCATTAAGAGCCAGTGGGAAGTGGGACTGTTGACCACTGCCTCCTTCCCTTTCTAAGCAGAGAGTATCACATCCAGCAGGCACTGTGTGTGTGTTGAGGGGTGGAGACCTCTGAATCAAATGACTGAAAAACTTGATTGTTTGAATAATGCAAAGTGACTTAAAAGTTATAGAACTGCACCGCAAGTCCTCTTCCAGTGTGAAACTATTCAGTAAAACACAGCAGGCAGTTACTGGAAAACAGAACCACTCTACTATTCGTATCTCAACAAGGTGATATTTCAGTTGGTTACTTCAGCATTATGAAAGGCTGAACGTGAAGCATGCCCTCTATACTGGTGGAAGGGGCAGGTTGTGAACAAAGGAGCAGAGACAGAGCATGGGACTCACCTTTAAGGCAAGGTTCTGGGTTCCACTTGCCTGATGGTGATGATCCCCCGACGTAGTAAATTCTCAGGCCCTGACCGGTTAGACCAGTGAGGGAAGTAGCTGGTGGTACTATCACGGGAGACGGGCAGAACACCCCTCCCCAGCACTCTTTTGCCCTCCTAACTTTTCTAAATGCTTAAACCTGATTTAATGCACTCATGAATTTGACAAGTATTGTTTCTGAAAGTAAAGTTTCGAAAATTAACACTGTATCTAACCAAATGCTCACAGCGCCCCCTTCCCCACAAAGGACACTGAAGGAGCATCTTCTGATGTCCTGTACACCAAGGCTAAGGGGCTGCAAACTTTATTTGGGTGGTGGACTCCTTTGGAAACCTGATTTTAAAAAAAAGCATTTCTTAGACCCCTAGAAAACTATACATGCACACAATTTTGCCTTGGATTTAAGGATTTTTGGCCCTAGAAAGCTTTTGACTGCTAGTGACCAAAATATTGATTTGTTTTGCAAAAATTAATAATTGTTTAGATGGAATACTTTTAGCAAAAAAAAAAATCTAATTCATATTATCTTCTATTCCATGTTGTCTAGACTATAATTTGCAAGTCACAAGTGCAAGAGTTGGTTATTTTTGATGCTAAACAAAGGGACAAAATTCAGAAGAGCAGCAGCCAATTGAAAAGGAAAAACTAGCAAGTGAACCAGAATAAAATATTTCATTGTATTCCATACATTCACAGGTCACTTCCAGATTTAGCAATAACACTGCAGTGCTCTGATACTGTGCACTCTTCAGCTCGGACCATGCCGGAAATCTGTAGCTGTCTCCTTTCAGTCTAGATACCATTCTTAACAGTGCAGCCTGGCAATCAACAGCTAATTAACTGTGGCAGAATTCACTCCCGTTTTCTCAGAAAGTTAAAGGATCGATACTTTCCATTCCATTACAAAAGAGATGACCAAACACTGTGCAGTACAGAGTTCCTTCCCCCACCTTTTTTATCTTGTTATGGACTGCTATCCCTTACATTTAGTTTTGAGAAGTAGACGTTTACCTAGCAAACCTCTGTACAGACCAGCTAAATAACCAAGGCAGAGTCGTGAAAACATAGCTCTTGCTTCTTTGGCCAGAATTCACCACTGATCTTCAGCCCTTGCCACAGATATGCAAGTACTTGGTTCTCACTGAGTGTGCCTGGCTGACACAAACTCATGTGCCCACCCCACAGTAAAACCTCTTCAAAACTTGGGCGTAAGCCATTGGGGGCAGGGTCACACTTTATTGCATGTGGCCTGCCACAGCCTCAGAAGATTCAGTAGATGAGTGATCACCAGGTTCCACTGTCCCTTGGCTTAGAGGTGCTCACTTGATTCTCTGAGGAGGCTGACACAAGAATCTCTTTCACCACAAATGACTGCTTCCATTGCCACAAATCAGTTTGAAATCACCATCCCTTTCTACTGAGATTTTTAAAGTGCAACAGTGTTTTCTATCAGGCACTGAAGAGCAAAAAGCTTTTTCTTTTCTATAATGAAATATACATTTTCTTTACTCTTGGTGTTTGTAATATGCCTGCAATTAGAAGCAGCAAACACGGAACAAACAAAACACGGGCAGAAGGCACAGGATGAGGAGCAGTATGCAAAGTTTACTATTACTCTTACAGGGACACCAAACCAAACCAGGCCCCAAGCCCATTTTGTTAACAGTCTCCTCTGTTCCAGTCAGTCCTTGAAAGCTGAAACCACATTTACTAACCCCTGTATCCCAGGTGAGCAGGCCTGTACCAGAACCAAGTAGCCATCATGTTACACCAGAAAATCTGTGATCCGAAAGACAACTTGTTACAAATGCTTAATGTTTTCCTCTGAGAATACCATCAAGTCTACTAATGCAAACCCAGAATAGTACTGCCATTCAATTTAGCAGAATGCTACATAGTCTATATGAAATAAAAATTAGCCACAAAAATACCTTAGAAAAGATTTTTTCTCCCCCTTGTGGACACTTTTAATATATTATGGAATTCTCAATCATTATATTCAAACTGCAACCAACATTTGTTAATACTATTTTTTAATTCTTTCTTAAAAGGGAAAAAAGGGTAAATTTTTGATTTTGAAATATTGACAGGATCCTCCAAAGTTAAATATTAACATCTTTTCATCTCTCTTACGAGAACTTTACTGTAAACATACATTATCACAGAATGAACTATTCAATATGTTACAAAATGTTATCCTGAAAGAAAACAAATCTCTTCTGAACCCAGATTCTTCATCCACAAAAGTTTAATGACTAAAATAACACCACAGAATGAACAAATGTTTTATTGGCATGTTCGTTGTTGTAAACAGCATCTGGCATGAAAAAGTTTTACCAAAACCTTTTTATTGATTTTTATAAATTAGATGGCATTTTCAAAATTGATGGAGAATTGTGTTCACTGAATAGCTGTATTTAGCAAACTTGCTGACTCTAACAGACTCTGCAATGAAATCTTGGTGACTGTATTAGCCTGTGCCATGACCTGACTTCCTAGCAAGTTTATTCAACACGATGTTAAGACGTTTCCCCAAAGTTAAGCTACATGTAACTACGTGTCAACTACTGGGACTTACAAGGTTTTAGAAGATTCAAACTTGAAGTAAAACTTCAAAAATAGATGTACAAAAGGAAAAAAACTGAAGCCACTGAACAGAAAAACCTCATTAACAAGGGCAAATACAATCGTATGGGACCCAGTGCTGAGGAACCTCACTGAGGGTTACATTTACATAGACTGCTATACCTCTCAATGTACACAAATGTACATCATGAATGATATGTAAAAGGAATAGCCATGGGAAATAGTTGAACTGCAATTATGATAACTCAATAGGATCAATTTTATTTACATGCTGAATGAATGAGTGAAACAAATTCTCTACATCCGTAACTTACGTACAATCAGTTATAATTACAACACTGCAGCAATCTGAGCTGCCACCTGCTGGGAGCGGTCTAGGGAAATGTTTTGATGTTCCAGAATAATGTTCTTAATACTTTGCCAAAAATGAAAAAAATAAAAACACAACTTCACGATTCTTTACTGGGTTATGGCTGGTTCTAAGATTTTCTTTCTTCAGCTCCTGTTTTTGCTGCTTTCCAAGAGCCAACACACGTTGCATTTACTTCTGAATTGTCAATGAGGTAATGTGTGTATCAGTGAAATAAACAGAAAATTCATTCATTCATGGCCTTTGCACAGCTTTTATTATTAAGCTATGAGCATCCTGTTTGAGGCTGGTTTTACTAGCGGCTATGTGCACATCTGTCCGCAAGAAAAGAAGTTTACTCATTCCCCTTCCCACTTTTCTAGTAGCAGGTTTCACTTTCTGGTCTTTTTGCACATCCCTTTTCACTTTACAGTACATTTGACTATAGTGCACAACATGATTCCAAGTCAAAACAGTGGCCCACTGGGCACTGAGCTTCTGATTGGTGAAGGGCCATCCAATCAGTGCTGGTGTCACTGGGTTACCCCCTAACCATGTCCGGCCATCATGGCACTACACAGTAGCAGTGAACCGTCTAATTAAAACCAAAATCCCCCAGGGAAAATGCTACACTAGCAGAGTCAGTCTTGAGTTAGATCTTTATTTGGTGCTCCATCCAGATAAATTTTTAGTGCTTTCTCTTTCCGAGGTGAGTATGTTACACGATGTCCTGTTTTCTGGAGTCGACTGCTTTCTTTTTTCATCAGTTCATTTCTTTGCTCATCTGTCAACTCCATTAATTCTTCTGTTCTATCCCTACATTTAAAATATTAATGACACATTAGACCAGTATAGCCGTCTGCCTCTTTTAATTTATGCTTAAAAGCTATAACACTCCTTAATGAGAAAATAAAATCTGACGGTCACCACTTAAGTTATGTAACTTAAACTAAGATGTCCTAGATTTCTAATGTGTTATGTTAACACAGCACTCACTTCTAAAAATGGCACAGAATAATTTCCATGTTGCTATTAGTATAATAGTGGCTATCATTTATTGAACATCTATTTATAACAGCCATTGGGCCAGTTTTTTAAAATGCTGTATTTCAAATTCTCATAAGATCTACAAGGCTGACATTACTGATGCCATTTTACAGATGAGGACCTAGGTAAATAAATAACAAAGCCGAATTTGAATACACATCTGCAGGCGCCTATGACTACTCTTTTTCCTCTCTCTATATTATAACAACAGATCCAGTAGCCACTACCCATGTGTGTCTATTGAAGTATATGATCCAAGTTGAGATGGGTGGCAAGTGTTATAAACACATAATATTTCTAAGACTACAAGGAAAATAATGCAAAATACCTTAGAAATGATTTTTATGTTTTTACAAGTCATAATGATATTTTGGATATAGCAGGTTAGAAATACTTATTAAAATAATGTTACCTTTCTACATTTAAAAATGTGGCTAACTAGAAATTTTAAAATGCAATATATGGCTTGTATTGTATTTCTACTGGTCAAGGCTATTCTATAACAATCATAAAGCTGTTTATGAAAAATAAGATGTACAACAAAAATGTGGTATCGTTAGAAATAACCAAAACATTGTGAACGTTACCTATAAAATATGACTGCACCATCATCACAGATATAAAGAGGCCAGACATTCAGGGTAGAAACTTTGGGATTCCAGTCCAAATCCTGATGAATATCAAGGACAGAAATATCACAGGGAAAAGTTCCTCTACCCTAAGGAAAAAACAATGAATGAATGTCACTGTTGGCCATGTTTACTTAGCACTAGTACCCAGATTTAAACACTCTTAGGGTCTTACCTTGGCAAACTCAATATCTTCTAAAGGAATTCCACTGATTTCACAAAGCTGTTAAGAGGAAACATTTTACATGAGTTCACCTAAAAACTAAGTTTGCTGAAACAAGTAATTTTCCTTTCACCTTGTGAACACAGAAATAGTTTTGATTTTTTTCCAAAGTAACTTATGTTTGATATAAAATTTTTTGAAAGCAGGTAGAACTGTCTCCCCCGTCCACCTGCAAGTACCATGTCTCAAAATATCAATTTAGTTGGCACTCACTTCGTAGGGTCTCTCTTATGTAACACAGAGAAAAATGTATGTTAGTTCATTTTGTTTAAAACGAGTTTACCTTCTCTCGCAACTCATCAACACTACTGCTTTCCAACACAACCTCCTGGAAGGGGTCCAACTTCATCTCTGAAGGCCTCCACCGTCTTGACAAAACTGCAAGTTGTGACATGGATTTCATCTTCTCCACCCCTAAGAATATTCAAGAGTAGGCCATCATTCTCTTTACCCTAAAGATTCATAATATACCTTTTCTTATATTGCCTCAAAAACTAAAAGATTTCCTTCAAGCATTATTCTTAAAAAGTAGGCATAAAAAAAACCAGTTATCCCAAGGAGTTTTTCAGAATAAAATACTCTCTCCCCTTCAGTCTCAGAAGAGAATTGTAACCCCGCACGCTCTCCTTCCACCAGGACTCTGAATTTCACTCTCTTGTGAGTCTTGGTGGACACTGCTCTCCCAGCTACTCTCATCTTTGGACCTCTAATCTTTGCTCCTCTGTTGGCTCCTACCATCCCACAACCTAAAATCATAATCAAACAGCCTTCATTTTATCTTCTTTTTTCACTCAATTATTAATCCTTCTCTTTTACTCCCAAACTTGCTGATTCTTCAAAACCCAGCTCAGCTGTCACCTTTCTCTTTGATGTACACAAGAGCCAATTGCACTGATGTGTTTCTTAGCACCTATCATTTTGGAATTACAGCTTTGTAGTTCTGGTTCTCCCATACACTGTGCATCTCGAGGGCAACCACTGGTCTTTATTGCTGCAGCACCATGGGTCAGAATGTCCGGCAAATTACAGGCCAATGTTTCTTAGATTTAATCATATGACTTAAATCTTACTCAAGCACTTTGATGCTAAAATATATACTGAAATGATACTGATGCAAGGATCCACCATCCAGTAACATATTCTCGCTAATTCATCTCCGCCAATATATATTCCTTCCTAACTAGGGTGACATCTATGTCCTTCATCTCTTCTTGGCCTACCCAGACCCAGGGATTACTCTATAAGGCCCCAGATACTCAGAGAAGGAATAACTGGTAACACACATTGTTCTTCTAGGTCACTGTTACACGGTTATATGGGTTGAATTGTGTCCCCCACCAAAACACGTTGAACTCCTGAACTTCAGTCCCTCAGAGTGTGACCTTATTTGGAATTCACAACAGTAATCAAGCTAAATGAGGTCAATTGAGGTGGGTACTAATCCAATATGACTAGTGTCCTTATAATATGGGAAACCGGGACCCAGATAGAACTCCTCCATGGAGCACGCTGTGTGAAGAGGAAGGCAGAGATCAGGACACTGTCAAGGCATCTATCTACAAGCCAAGGAACATGAGACTGCTGACAAACCACCACGAGGAGAGAGGCATGGAGCAGACTCTCCCTCACAGCCAACAGAAGGAACTAACCCTGACAACATCTTGATCTCAGATGGCCAGCCTCCAAAACTGTGAGAAAATAAATTTCTGTTGTTTAAGCCACCCAGTCTGTGGTACTCTGTGATAGCCTAGAAAACTAGTATTGTTATTGCTCTCAAAATTTCTGAAAAATTAACAGCACATCCTCAAAGCAAATAAGCCAAAATGAAAAAAGATACTAAAAAATAAACATGGCTAAGAAACTTTTACTTTCAATAAAAAGTACTAAAAATGCAACTTTGAAACTGCAACTTCCTGGAAATGAGACTGAAAAACAAACATGGCTAAGAAATTTTTACTTTCAGTAAAAAGTACTAAAAATACAACTGTACAACTGCAACTTCCCTGAAAGGAAGAATTCATATTCTTAAAATTAGAGAAAAGAAGAAATATTTAAAAGGCAAATGGGGCCCGGAGAAAAGATAGAAGCAGCTCATTATTTGAGAAAAGCTACAGCCTTCTATTATTTCTAGAGAACTTCTGATATTTCTCCATAAAAATAATGATAATACCATCAAGAACTTCAAGGAAAACCTCCCAGTTGCTGGAAATATTAATATCTTCTTCATAAATATGATAATCCAAAAAGACAGTGCCAGGATTCTTCCATGTTTTTTTCCTTAGACGAAACCTACAAGTGTGATAAGATATTTTAAACTACTATACTCTGAAATTCTTAACTTAAAAAAAGCAACATGAATCTCACATCAAGGAAAAATGAAATGTTCAAATACAAAAGTCAAATGGTTATTCATCAAAATTTTGGGAAAATACAATGAAATGATTTCAAGACATCAAATTGAGTGTCCTGCAGAGGAAGCTCAGACCAATTCCTAAACAATTTGGTGAGTTCTAACATATTAATCTACAGTACAAAATTCTGAATGGTACAGGAATTTAAAATTCTTTGTTTTAGAAAATCATACTAATCCATGTCAATTGACCACACTGTCTTTCTTCAAATTGCGATGACATTGTAATTTTACTTTACCTGTCAATACTGAGCTCTAAACCACACTGCTCCCTGAGTTGAGGAATTAACTCCTCTTTTGATTGCCGTACAGTCATTCCTTTAGCAAAAACAGCATCTAGCAGAAACTTGCATGGCTAGGAATGTAAAGATAAATAATTACACCCTGAATTACACATTAAAATGAGGATCAGCAAAACATTTTATTTGTACTTTATAGTGTGACAATTACTGGGACTGGGTTTAGGAGTCTGTCTTCCTAGATTTAAATCTTGGCTCCATTACTTACTAACTGTTATCTTGAGCAAGTTTACTTAACATTTCTGTGCCTCAGTTGTCTCATCTGTAAACTGGGGACAGTGTCTTCCTCAGAGTCATTGTGAAGATTAGATATGATAACACATTCATATTTCTCTTCTTATAATACAATGATCATCACTTTTATAGAGTAAAATGAGGGAAATGAATACTAATTTTTCAAATACATCCATTAATTGTCTCAAAAGAGAAACAGAATCCACAAACCCCAAACTCAAAGAAAGACAAGTCAAAATGAGTGTAATGAATCACACATAAGAGATATAACTGATGCCTAATAAAATATTTGTTGAACAAATGAAGGCATTTTATGAAAACATTACCCGTTTATTTGCTGTTTTTCACATCTGTCTAGGTCTTCATTGAGATGTTATAAATATCTTAAAAATAGCATCTTTGTCTTTATTTTTCTGGGTATTTACCATCATTTTAAATATCACAGGAACTAAGATATTTTATTACTCCCCTAGAACATAGTCTGTTTAGATTCTTAATCCACCGTTTAAGAGCAATATGAACCTGGGCATGTTACTTAACTTCTCTGCACCTCTGTTTCTTAACCTATATAGTGGGAATAATAGTACTTTTATAATAGAGTTAACTGATGAGGATTAAAGGAGTTAATATTTGTAAGCACTCAGAGAACAAAGAGGCACTAAATACAATGCTAGTTAAAAAATGTCTCTCTGAATTAAAAAAAGTATACACTACAGGTCAGTTGCTATCTTTCTGTATCATTATACAATCATTCCCAGAAAATAAGCACAAACAAATCCACTTTTAAAAAAGCAGAAAATGTATGCCATTCCAGCATTTGTAGCAACACTTTAGATCAGGGGGATGGTCTGAGGGCCATGATCTGGTGCCTGTTTTTCTGAGTGACATTTTACTGCAAGGAAGTCCCTGCTGTTGGCTTATGTGTTGCCTGTCTGTTTCTGTGCTATAATGGCAGCACAGAGCAGTTGCAACAGACATAGTATGGCCTGCACAACTGAAACATTCCCTAAAAAGAAATATTCCTCCTGTGTGTTGTGCTGTGCTTAGCTGATCAGTCATGCCCAACTCTTTGCATCCCCTTAGACTATAACCTGCCAGGCTCCTCTGTCCATGGGGATTCTCCAGGCAAAAACACTGGAGTGGGTTGCTATGCCCTCCTCCAGGGGATCTTCCCAACCAGGGATCAAACCCAGGTCTCCCACATTGCAGGTGGGTTCTTTACCATTTGAGCCACCGGGAAAGCCCTGTCCTTCTTTAGAGAGACAAAAAGAAATGTCTAGTAATAAAATCTGTACACTGCATGTTTTTAATAACTACCCAAGTGACCTTACATTGCTTGTAAGGATGTTACTTACCTCTTGTTCATTGACTAGAAGCTGGTACACTTTAACTCTGTATTCTCCTTTTTTAAGCGCTCTTCCCAGTCTAATTGTAATCTATAAATTAAACACACTTTTTAAAAGATGTACTGTCTCAGTAGAATAAACTACCCATTCTCACCCCAACTGTTTAGGATTCTCCCCCTAATTCTCTAGATTCTGGGCTGTTTGAGAACAGGTATATCTTTTACCTCTGATTCCCCAATGCCTAGAATAGTAACTGACACATAGTTAACATTTAACAAATGTTTGTTAGATGAATGGAGAAAACAGTAACAAAAAAACCCAATAATCACTAAATAATCCTTCTAGGGTATCTATTTCACCTTACTTGGAAGTAGTGTAAGATGTTCCCAAATCTATCATTTAAAACAGACTCTAATTATTCAGAATTGTTTTTATCAACCTTATTGTCATCTGAAAATGATGAAAGTGTCTCATTCAGCCGGACGCTCTCAAACTCTTGATTGCTGGCGTACACGCGAAAGACCTTGAAGTGAGAGGACAAAACTCCAACAAAGGGCTCTAAATGTTGTTTGAAAGTGGCCAGAGTAATTCTTTTGTCAACATGCACCATCAACCCTAAGCACACAGACACACACAAAAAAACAGAAACAAAAATGTAAAAGAAACCTCTTAAGAGTATAAATAGAGCAGATTATAGATTGCCAACTACACTGTGAGGAGGAAAGAGCACCCCTTTCCAGTTATTTGACTTTCAGCTAACGTACTACATTGAATGGACATGGACACAGAGCATGTGCTACGTATAATCCGACAGCTTTAAATATTCTGAGATATTTGCTTACTCATTTTGGTCACTAATTTAAAAATCAAATTTTCAGCAATTTTTTTCAAATCCATACATTTCTAGTCCTACACAGCAGCAGGGTACACTGTGACTGCATCTCACCCCTGCCTCTTCTTCATACTTACTAGCTGTCAAGACACAGAGCAAGTCACCAGCCTCCATACCTGCATTTTGTCATTTGAAAAATGGAGATAATAACAGTACTGATCTCATAGTATCTTACTGTCAATTCAGTGAGGTTAATAAGTTAATCATGCTTTTAGAATAGTTTCATAATAGTAATAACCTCAAAATCTAATTTTTTAGATTTACTAAAAAACTAGTAAATCTAGTTCTGGGATTTCTACTAAAAATGTCAAGACTAGCATACAAAGATGACTGTCTTATCCTGTGGTTGGCTGGACTATAACAGAAACACCTACATGGATCAGAAACTCCAACCTCCTCTAAGCTTCAATTTAAGCTCTCTTTGCATTATAATATGGACTTCCCTGGTGGCTCAGATGGTAAAGTGTCTGCCTACTACGCAGAAGACCTGGGTTCAGTCCCTGGGTTGGGAAGATCTCCTGGAGAAGGAAATGGCAACCCACTCCAGTATTCTTGCCTGGAAAATTCCATGGACAGAGGAGCCTGGTAGGCTACAGTCCATGGGGTCACAAAGAGTCAGACGACTGAGCGACTTCGCTTTCACTTTCTTTTGCATTATAATAATAGGGTTATCTTTGATGTGCTTTAATTTTTTCTAATGCTTATTATTTTAATCTTTGTCCTTTATTTTATAAGCCACTCATGATGATACTTTTGGAACATACTCTTGACACTACTTCTGGAATATATTTCTTACGCTGATCTTCATATTCTATTAAAGAGCAAAAACATCACTAGTTATCTCTTTCTTTTATAAGACAGTGCCGAATGCAAAAGCTGCCATAGAGTCTCACGCTCATGCAGCCCTAAGGCTCTCGGTAGGGCAGACCACAAGTTTTCTGTGAAATTTACATGAAAGATCAAGGATGAAACCTTTATATAGTCTTGGTTTCCATTTCCAAGTCATCCCAACTAGGACTGATGAATTTTTCTGAATGGATTTTTCAAATAATGTCTATTTACTACTCCCCCGGTTATAAAATACTGGTTCACTAGAGAAAATGTGATAAGTATGAATTAGCAGAAAACATACAGTGATGAACTTTATTTACTGTATATACCTTTTGAGGCAGTATATCTTTTACTTTGTTTAAAATGTCTATTTCTAAGCTTTAAAGGAATGTCCCTACATATCAGCAATCTAGCTTTTGGCAAACAAACCTCTATTTATTAACCAGAGAGGTGTTAAATTTCTTGAGAGAAGGGAGTAATGAAAAACTTCTTGATTAGAAATGAGCAGCCTATGGCTGGATTTCAGTTTTGCCACTTTGGTCTGATAAATGGCTACAGGTACTTATCAATCTCTTAGCCTTAGTTTCCTCATGGGATTATTACCCAGTCTCATTGACTGTTGTTCAACAAATGTAGTACATTCTAAGGCATTACTCAAACAAAAGCTATCACTGCCATTTTGGTTTCTCTTGTAACTCCTAGTAATGCTGTATCACAGAAAGACATGAATGTTTGTTGGTTATTGATATAGTCCAAATGGTGATTAGAACCAAGTGTTCTGGAGTTAGATGGCCTGGCTGGAATGAAGTTCTTGTTCCCCTTCACATATTAGATTTGTGACTTCGACTAACTTCTCTGAACTTCAGTGATCTCTATTATAAAACAAAGATAACAATTTTTATATCTCATAATGTGTTTTTAGGTCATACATGCAAAATGCTTAACACAGCATTGACAAAGTGTTAGTTCAACTGACGAGCTATAATTATTTACTGGTTTTACAGAACACCATCATATCGATTTTCCTATCTATGCCTTCATACAGAAGAGTTCAGTCTCTTCACAGCTGCAATTTTAAAGTGCCCTCAAAAGCTTTCTTTTTTCATTCTTTTATGTATTTCTTGAAAGAGGCGGTAACCAAAATTGTACAAAGAAGTTTCAGTGCAAATACATGACCATTTTTATTTCTCTGGTCTTCCTATTTATACCCTACTGCCTGCAGATTACAACTAAATCACACTGGGACAGTATTTTCAAAGAGGTCTATAAGTACTCCCTGAAACAATTCCTGGATTATAACTAATTGCTTCAAGACCATCATTTTAAGTGTTATTTGGTTATTACCTAAATGAATTGCCTATACAGTGCAGGGCATACCACTCTTCAGGTATCAAATTCTGTTTACCCATTCTACCCTGCCATTTCATCATTCTAAAGAATCTGTATTGTTACCTGTCATCCACATTTCCCAAGCACCTACTTTCAGATCCCTGTGGAACTTGATGAAGCAGTCGTAGTACCGATTCCTGAAACACCTGGCTGCTGGCTATCATCCCCATTCCCTTTCCCCTAAGCCAGTTTGTTAAACATGTAAAGACACTTTGCAGGGTTTTCTTCTCAAACACCTTCTGTATAGCTTCTGAACATTTAAATAATTCATAGAAAATGGTTTCTCTTCATCACATGTTTTACTATATCCATGAATGCTAGTAAATTAGCCCACAATGTATTTCTAAAAAGGTTAAAATGGTCAGCAGGCTCCTTTGCAAAGGTTCCATTAACTGTTTTAAGATGGAAATGAGACCCTTCAAACTATAATTCTAAATATCTCCACTGAATCCTTCCTACAGTTGAATGCAGTCAAATTTCCAGTACATCACTGAAAAACAAACTCCTTGAAAGAAATTTCTAACCTTTTTCCAAAGAGAAGCTATTTTTAATTTCTGCAATGCTCTTGAAGGGTTGAGAATGATAAGAAAGCAGTGTAGGTACTAGCTATCTTTACTATGATGTGAGAAAAGAAACAGTGGTTAGCAGTGAGAAGGTGGAGAAATGAGTACCAGGCTTGCAACTGGAATACTTGAATCTGATCCCAGCAGTGTGACCTACTAACTGTGTGACCTCAGGCAAATTATTTAACCTGTATGAGCCAGTTTCTTCATCTGTGAGTTACGTTTAACAATATCAATTTCACACAGCTGCTGAGAACTAAATAAAATAACATGTTAATGAGAGTTGTAAGGAAAAAAAAAACCCATGAAAATTTAAATAAAGTATTACTATAATAGAGTTTCTCTGTCTCCATTTTAATCTACCAATCCACATTTTCCCACTTGAGTTTCTGTAAGATATAGGTATGGATGTCAAATAATTATGCTGTTTTTGAACCTACTTAAAAACACAAACTTATGCATTTTTACTACTGATTTCATAATTTCTATCACTTTTAAAAGGAATTAAAAGATCCAATTTTGAGACTATAAGCATCATGGCATTTAACTAATATAGTGGTTTTTCTGTGCACCTTCTCCCCATGAGATGAAGCATAATGCTACAATTTAATCATCCCTACTTCTAACAAATACATAGGGCCTAGTTACAGCTTATATTCAGGAAATAACACTTGTGGAGGCATACAAATGGAGAGATGAAGAGTGGGACTCTCTTACAAAGTAATAGGAGCAAGTGCATTCATACCAGAGCTTTCTGTAACCTTTAGTAATGGTCCCACTAGTTACTAGCCATATATGTGTTTTTGGGAAAGTCATTCACCCTCTATGAGTTTCAGCTTTCTCATCAGAGGATATCAATGTCTATTTTATTAATCTCAGAGAAGCTTCAAGTGAGAACAAAGAAGTTTTGAAAACTAAAATATAAAAATATAAGGGGTAATATTAATATTTGCCTTTCAGACTAATGCAAAGTATTTAGGTTTTCAGCTATTTCCCTTTTATACTTGAAGAAATATTTTGTATCTTGCACCTGTTTGTCCTGATAATTCTCTGGCTGGTTTTATTTTGATATTTTATGAATTCTTTTATTGAGTCTCATACAATGTTATGTTTTTGTTGTTGTTTGTCCAAGTGCCCAAATCACTTCCATTCTGAGATTATACAATTCAGCACTTCTAGTTTATATGCCTGAGGCTTCCTTCAAAGAAATGTGGGGGAAAAGGTCTCTTTTCTTTCTGACTTTCCCAGTTAATTATGTACTTTTTAGGGGGTGTAGGAATGGTGTACCTTGGAGTAGGTGATGAGGAAAGGGAAGGAATGCACAAATTAAAAATTTTTCTAGGCACTGAATAAAAAATTTTCTAAAGTACCGGCCTTTTTTTGTATATTGCTATTTAAACTATTTCTTTTCCTTTTTAAAATTCTGCACTGTTATTATACTTCTTTCCTTTAAAAATATTCTTAATTTCTTTCTTTTTAAAAATCATCTCACCAGAGTCTGGACATTATTCCAGCACAGGTCTAAGAACACTGCTCACTACAACTGCATCAAAAATGAAAGCAAAGAAGAGAGAGGATAATCTTATAATCCAGGATGCTACAGATAATCTTAGGACAAAGCATCTCTTAGCTGATTCTTCTCAACTAAAAATTTAAATGAACTGATAAAAAAGAATTGAGGCTGTTTCAAGAGGCAGCCTTTTTCTTTAAAGTACATACATTTATGTCCTTCCCCAGAACCTTCATCTGCAGCATAGGGCTCTGCTTTGAAATACATGTACTGTATTTCTCCCCTACTCTTGCCACTCTCATCATATTCACTGTCCGTTCCAGAGTCTTCTTCTGCTGTATCCCATGTCTCCTTTTTCCCTTCATTCGCTTTAGTTCTTCTACTACTCGTGATGCTGTGAGAGTCAAGTCCATTAGCCAAAGGGATCTGAGCATTATCTGCATTGCACAAAGTATCACTGCTATGACTCGAGCTAAGAATATCACTGTCCACCGAACTTGTACTCCTGTCATTATTCACATCTGAATCTGATCGCTCTTCAGATTGAAAATGTTCAGGATCAGAAGTCTGCATATGCTGTTCAAGTTCTCTATTATCCACTGAGGCTGAGGAGTCCCTCTCATTGAGAGGTGATTCAATGTTTTCAAAGTCACTTGTCTCAGTACTCTTGCTGCTGTCCCCATTATCTCCCTCCTGCTGCTGTTGCAGTGACAAGCTTTTGAGTTTTTCAGTGCTTTCTTCCAGAATAGCTTCCACAGACTTTAGGCTCCCTGAAGGTCCTTTGACTCTTTCACAGTCATTATCCACGTTCCCAGAGTCACCCCCAGCTTTCTGGTATGCTGTCCTTTTGGAGTAAGATCCTGGAGATTGTTCAGGTAGCAAAACAAATAATCTGATTGTATTTGCATGCCGATCCAGGAGTTTCCATAAATGAGAGTCTGTAAAGGCCAGCTGGTAATCCAAAGTCTCAGAACTTTCAACAAACACCTAAACAGCAAGTTAAAGAGTTACATTTACACCATTAATTTTGGGGACAATCTCATTCACTGTAAGAATAACATCACATCAATATAAGACAGTGCACAATAGATTATAAAATTTGAGATAATAATGTTTCTAAAGGACATATATATATCGTTTTTGGAGACTAATAAACTTTATGTTCATATCTCCTTGTAACTGGCCATAAACTGTGCTAAGATAGATGGGGCACACACATGTGTATGTGCCTGCCAAATCTCTTGCTCACTGGAACATTCATAAAAACATCTTGGCAATGCAACACCAAAATCCAAGTTCTATAAAAAATTTTATGGACAAATGACTTGATTCTATAGCAAATAAATTGCAAGGAAACAAACATAAAGGGAAAGCTTTAGACTAAAATAAACTTAAAGAGATATTACAGCCTTTATTCAGATTCTGATGTGAGCAAATTTCACTGAAAAATTTTTTTTAAGATAATCAGGGAAATCTGAACACTGACTAGATATTGGTTAATACTAAGGCATTTCTGTTAATTTTTTAGGTGTAACAATGTAATTGTGGTTATGTTTTTAAAAGAGTTCTCATCTTATAGAAATATATACTCATTGCTTATAGATGAAATGATATGATGCTGGGGATGTTTCTGAAATAATCTAGGGGAAGTAGTTAAATATAGATGAATCAAGACTTAATAATTACAGAAGCTGGGTGATAAGTACATAAGGGTTCATTATACTATTTTCTGCACTTCGGCGTATGTTTGAAATTTTCTATAATAAAATTTTAAAAAGTGAAATGCATATATATATATCTGGCAATTATGAATAGCATTTTGAATTTTGTATAAATGTTATTCAATAAATGTTATAAATGAGGGCTATAAGCTAACCATTTAAGGAAAAATATTAAGTTAGATCCTTCCCACTCCTTACCCTAAAACAGTATTAGGGTAGATTAGAGATTTTAATGTTATATACAAATACCACACAGAAGTACTGGAAGAAACTACAGGTGAATAAAAATTACACGTCAAAATTGATAAAACAATATATTAAAAAAGTGCTAGATGTTATAAAAGATCAATCTTTTCTAAGATGAGAGAGACTGGAAATGGTGATAAATAAAAGATGGTAATCGAGGAAACTTTGCTACAGTTTATCCAGAGTAAACCAATAGCATTAAGAATAAAAACACATGAAAAATGGTATGATGGAAACATAATGATACCAAGAGATGCAACAAAAAGACCAACATGAACTTTCTCTTTCCTTCTAGAGATAAATGAGTAGGAGAAGGGAATAACATGAAGTGAACCCAAGATAAGAACTGTCTGTACCCTAGGCATGCTTCAGACTCACCATGAAGTAACGCTTTATGGGAGAAGCTCAAGAATGAACAAAATTCAGAGAACATAATCATTGTGACCAGAACTAGTCATCAAGGTTCCACCAGAGAGGCAGGACTAATCAGGGGCTTGAAAAATAAATGTAGGGAGATGGGGGAAAAAACACTACATGTTGGGGTAGCACATGAACAAGGCAAAGAGGAGAACCAGCAAGATTCACTTAGAAGACAAAGAAGCATGACCTGACCTGACTATAAAGATAGGTAATTACTGGAAGGATGTGAGAATTTAAAAGGTAAATTTCAGACAAATGGTGAACAGCAGTACAGAAAATAGTAATGGAAAAATAAAAGACATACCTTGTTACTTCTAAAAAACCCTTCAAGTTTCAGGGTTTTACTGGGCACAGTGAGAAGGCGCAAATCATTGTAGCAGCGTTCCAGCACTATTCTCATTGTTTCAGCAGGTAAATGGATGGCCTAAAATGAAAGTGATTTAATTAAAAAGTACTTTTTCAAAATAATTTTGCTTGACTTGGAAATATGGGAAAATAAGACAATGCCGAGTTCTTCTTAGAAGCAGCAGAAAGAAAATTAAGTGAAAAATAATCTTACTAGAGATTTACAAATTAAAAACATTATCAGTCCTATCCACTAATTAGGCTGTAAATTAGGAGAACAGAAAATCACTTATAAATGTATGCTCTGAAACTATTTTAAAAGTAACAATTACTCACTAAAAGTTCTATTTCTCCCAAACTCATGAAGTAAATGAGGTGATGATTCCACAGAAACTGAATAACTGACTGTGAGAACTGATGTCAAATCACTTAACTTCTTGACTTTTGATCAGGTCTTCTGTACTGAGTTAATACTTCTACTAAATCAATTTTTTTATGTGTAAAATGAGATTAAATTAGTAGGTAAATTTTAAAGTTCTTCTAAAATTCCATGTCCTTAATTTTTGGTGTCACTTAAGAAATTTCTCATGAAATGAGCAAATAAAAATAATTTACATTTTACAAAACTTCATTTGTATAGTTAATGATGACTAATTCTGAGGCATCCTAGTTATAAACACTAAATTTCTTGGCATCTTGTTTTCTGACTGTCTTTATACTCTACAGACATATTTTTCCCCAACAAAATTATAAGCTTCTTCAGGGAAGAAACACATGTGTTTCTTTTGTATTCTACCTCAATGCTCGTATTCTAGATTAAACTATAAAACAGAGCAGTTAATCATAAACTATGACTTCAAAATGTGATTTGTTTCCTCTGATTATTACTGTGGCAAAAGTGTCAGAAGTATTTTTTTAACATAGTAATAATTAATAACTAACTTCTATACTTCACTTTTTCACAAAAAGAGCATTTATTTATTTTACTCATGTTCACAACAACCCTGTTAAAATAGGCATTAAAAAATTCCAGATGAGATAAAAGACAATACTACCATAAAATGAATACTAGAAATGACTGGCTGAGTTTTTTGACTTGTGATTTCTGAACAATTCCCACCACACCAAAGGACCCTAAGTTGGGTTAATTTTGCCTATATTTGTGTGCTCAATGTTCTACAGAGTACAAGACCCCTGAAAGGATTATAATGATTTCTCTGGAGTGAAAGAGTTTTTCTATTCAAGGAAATCTGAATGTTTCATCATCATGTTTTTCCAGTTCAAAAATTCTGAACAAGCCTATGCTCTTTACTATTTGCTCACATAATGTGACTGATAGCAGCTTACTCTTCTACTACTTATTCATTTATCACTATCTTTCTGGTTACCCCAATGTGAAACTCCTCAGGTCTTCTGTGCTCCTGCCTTGCTCTAATATTTAGCAATTCCAAGTGCTGCCAATTTTATTTATAGATTCACTCTTACAATCTCCACTTTTTTTCATTTCTGGTCTTATGTCTTCACCTAAATTACTTTAACAACTTCATCTATTAATAATGTTCCTGACTCCTCCCTCAGTCCATTGGGAACACGAGTCTGGAATTGCCAGAATTGCCACACTACAGCATAGCTCTCATATCATAACACTGCTGTACTTAGAAAAATAACCAACCAACCTACTTCCTACTGCTTAACTAAACAGAGTCCAAACTTCTCTGTTTACATTTAAAAACCTGCCATGAGATAAAGTGAACTTATGTTTCCAGGCATGTACTTCACAATGATCCAGCCAAACACACATGTCATTGTTACGGGCACTTGCTTCACACTTCTTATCTTCACATTTAGGTCAGTCTGCTTCTTCCATATGAAGTATCCTTTTCTCCCAATTACAGTTGTCTCCAAGCTATAAATACATTGGCTTCTTGAGGTAAATATTAGTTCCTACATCTTATAACTATCACATAGTGCTTTGTACATAGCAGGCATTTAAAAATATTCATTGACCAATTTTAAAACTTACCTTTGAAATAAGCTGTTTGAACTCTGTAACTGTTTGATTTAAGTAAGCTCGGACAGTGATGGGAGCAGCTATAGATTCTGCCTTTAGATCAACAACATGAACTTTCACCATTACTTCTGTCACATTTGAAAAACACAGAAACACAAATGGAGGTTCTTTTTTAAAAAGGAATTTCACATTAGCAGTGCATTCTAAATGTGTTTCTAACAGATAGCAAAGATAATGTTTTTCTAATTGTCAAAATGGTAGATGTATATGTTAACATGCATAATACAATTAACACTTCTTTCACAATTTATCACATTACAAATATATATAAAGAACTAAAAAATAAATCTAATAAAAAGGTTCTTACAGATCTTTTTTAAAAGGCAAAAGTCAAAATGTGATTTTTAAAAATACATGCTTTGTTTCCTTATAAAATATTAATACCACCCCTGTCAAATTTTTCAAGCATAGTAAAAATATATATCCAAAGTTCTAAAATACAGAGCAAAACCACAACTTAACACTAACAGAAATAACTAGAGAAAACAAATACTAAAGGGGACACAGAAGCCCTACTTGCTTTTTACAACCTTCACTAAACAATTCAAGACCTTGTTCATAATCAAAGACTTCTTCTCAAAATAATATTGTCTATATCCTATAGAGAATTCAACAGAAAAGCTTTTGGTTTACATGTATTGTTTTCTGACTTAAAAGTTTTCATGTTAACAACTTAATGCCATCTTCTCCTCTCCTGTTTTCAGGATATCATATATAACTTAACTTTCAGTCACCAGAAAAATAAATGATCTTCAATCACGAGATTTAGTAGATATTCTCCAGCTTTAATTGTTTTAATCTCTTGTACATAGTACATGTCAATCTTCCATTTCCCCCAATGTAGCTAATCTAAATTTGAATATTATTCTAAAGTATTGACTATTAAACAATAAAGGAGATTATGAGTGTCATACTACACAACAACATTTAGAGTTCTCTTTTTAAAACGTGAGTTATTTTGCTGACCAATGTTATACTTTTATCATACTCTCTACAGTCTAATTCAAAAATAGTCTGAAAGAAAATGCTCCAAAGGGACTCTCTATGGATAGAGCGGAGTATGACTGAAGCAGCTCTTGAAAGAATACCATACTTAATCTACTTTGGAAAGAGGAGGCTTCAAAAACGGGAGGTGCGGGAGATGCGCAGAAGAACAGGATTTGAACCGAGTTACGGGACCGTGGCTTCAGGGAGGCCCTGAAAGACTACTTCTGAGGCTTTATGAGGACATACTTCTTTGGGCCGTGGTCTTCTCTATAAAAAGAAAGGCAGGGGCAGGGGCAGATGTAGGAAGGGAGGGTGATTTAGTACTGGAGAAGAAAAATCCTACTGAAGACTTCTGTTGTTTGCTTTGTTATTTGTTTTTAAAATTTTGTGTATAGTTTTTTGAAAGTAGTCTAGACTTTAATTCCAGGTTTGTTGCTCACTACTTCAAAACCTATCAAAATTATTATACATTCTGAGAACATGTAAAAAATTTAAAAATAATTTCTATAAACAGAAAACTTTATGAAAATATAAGTCCTTTACAATTCAAAATACCATAAAAATGCTTACCTCCAGGTTTATAAGACTGGAAAACTTGATCAGGTCTTCTTGTTTCCAACAGCAGATCAAACATGTATGTTGACTTGACTCCACCTAGTAAAAGACCCATTGGAGTATCTTCTTCTCCTTCATATGATCGTTCAAGATAATCATGAAACTCATCATATTTAACAAGACGACAGCAATCCATGGGTATTACCTCTTCTAAATCCATCATCTAAAAGAATACAACGTCCAAGGAAAAAGAAAAATATATATATATTTTAATCTGATATGTAACTGTACTAACAGGAGATCCTAACAAACAATAAAGTCCATATATATTTATGATTTGCACCAAAGCTCAAAGGCATGACTTAAATGGTATTTTAAAATAACCCTATTTCATTATCCCTCAAATTATACAACCTATATACCAACATATTTTAAAGACTTTTAAAAAGTTAACATTCTAAACTTTAGATGCACTCAAAATTAATGCACTGTAAGCTATTGCTTTATAACTATTAACCTGGAAACATAAGAGGAAAATAACCAACTAGAACATGCATCTTTTGTTATCTTAACCCAATCTGGAGAAAAACTGGTAATTCATGTATCTAGTAGTGCTCTTCTTAAGCACAGGAGGACAGCATGCCTTGCTGAGCTACCACAAAGGCCTTCCTGTTTCACAAGTGCTACCCCACTCTTCTCTGAACCGTCCCCAGCAATCTAAGCCAACAGAACACCAACAAATCAGAGATAGGAATTTCTATCAAAAATTTCCCCTCTATTCCATGTCACTTGTAGATGGCACATACTCCATGCAACATCACTTAAGTGGGAACTGAATCTCTCAGAGAAATAGAGTACGACTGCTTAGAAGTAGTTGATACTCATTCAAGGTTTGTGCTTACTGGTGGCTCAGATGGTAAAGAATCTGCCTGCAATGTGGGAGACCTGGATTCAACTCCTGGGTTGGGAAGATGCCCTGGAGGAGGGCATGGCAACCCACTCCAGTATTCTTGCCTGGAGAATCCCCATGGACAGAGGAGCCTGGCGCGCTACAGTGCTTGGGGTCACAAAGAGTCAGACAGGACTGAGCAACCAAGCACAGCACAGCATGAGCCTCCCAGCGACAGGGCAGGACTGCTTAGGAGCATTTCATACTCATCTACGGCATGTGATTATGACTTTAAACAAAGTGCATAAACCTTGGTTTGTCCCCACTGTCCTCTACTCTACTCACTCACACCCCACAAATGGAATTTTACCTTTCTTACGTAAGATTAATTTCTCTCTTCTATTTAACTCTTTACCTTTATGAGCTTTTACTTTCTATTTTTAAGACAAGATTTTTTTCCCCCTACATTAAAAACTGATGGAATATGAGAACCTACTGTATAGCAAAGGGAACTGTATTCAATGCTCTGTGGTTACTTAAATGGGAAGGAAATCTTTAAAAGAAGGGCTATATGTAATACATATAACTGATTCACTTTACTGTACAAGGGAAACTAACACAATATTATAAAGCAACTATACTTCAATAAAAATTAAACAAAACACCTGATGAACTGTAAACTACCCTTACCACTATCACTGATTGACCTTACTGTGTAAACCTGTTAAGACATTTTCTCCATTTTAGTCTAATTTGGTTTCACTACTATTTTGCGTGCAGTCCACCATTATGTTTAAAGGATTTTTACTTTAATCAGGTGAACCCAGAGACATTTATCCACTTATTATCTGTTCATGCCTATACCCATCCAATTTTGACTAGGTAAAAGTAGTAGAAATGCAACTGTGAGCAAAATCAGGGCACTCTTCACCCTTGTCAGTGCTTACAATTTAGTGAGGGACAGTAACATTAATTAAAACAGTGACAATTAAGTATAAATTTTCAATACTGATGAAATGCTATGGAAGACCAGGTATGTAACAGAAGTTTTCAAATTTTGTGTGTCCGAAAATTCCACTTGAGGTACTCATTTATATTGCATGAATCCCAGGAGCCAAAACGTAAGTTCACATTTATTTGTAAGAATTAGTTTTTTCATAGGAATGTGATTCTGGTGCAGCCTGTGCTGGGTTATACACAGCACTCTGAGGATAAATGCCAGTGATCTTATGAATTATTTTTATTTTTTCATTGGTTCTATTCATAAATATAAATGAAATGATGCAGCATGTATTTTTTCTCTAGGTCTGAACTATATATCATTAGAATAAAATAAAATTTCTATCCTGAGAAAATTGTTTAATTTCGTTTTATGCCACTCTCTTCTCATTCAAGACGATCTAAAAACAATGCCTCCTTTTTCAGCTTCTTTATCATGCACTTCTTCACCTTAGTTTTTCCCCACGCTCTTTCCCTAGTTTCTTGCACAGCTGTCTCCTTCTCATGGTTTAAGTCTCAGATTAAATAACCTTAATATACTTCTGAATTACTTCATAGCATCTAAACAATAAGATATTTGCAAATTATCTTTAAATATTTAAATATTGTGGTGTTTAAATATTTTGTCCATTTTCCCCCAGTGGGATTACAAACTCCACGAAGGCAGTGAGCCTATCTTGCTTACTTTGGTACCTCTAACACCTCATGTTATCTTGTTCTTTCTAGTTCTCTTATGCCTCATATGGTAGTCATTCAATAAGTATCTGCTACAGTGGTGCTACTGGTAAAGAACTTGCGGGCCAATGCAGGAGACATAAGAGACACAGGTTCAATCCCTGCATTGGGAAGATCCCCTGGAGGAGGGCATGGCAACTCACTCCAGTGTTCTTTCCTGCAGAATCCCATGGACAGAGGAGCCTGGCGGGCTATAGTTCATAGGGTCACAAAGAGTAGGCCATGACTTAGCAATAAAAAACAAAAACAATTTGAATATAAAGAATAAATATCTTTGTTTCTAATTTTATTTCTGAGCTCTAGAAAGCTTAACTGGCTTTCAGAGTGAGAAAGTTCTCAAAAGCAATGAACCACATTTCAAAGAAGAGGTATAAGCTATGCTCCTTAAGAGATTCACTGATAGGATTTAATGGGCTATTTAATGGAAGTGCTTATACTACTACTGACTATAATAAAAGCTTGGGAAAATGTTAGTACCATTATGTAAGATATCAATAATTAAATGCCAACAGTACAATTAAACATACCTTATAAGCCATTTCTACTGCTTCCTTTAGTGTCTTATCCTTATGAACCTCCAATTTATTTTCTATCATCACTTGTTTCACAGGATGCAAGCAGAATAATTTTATCTAAAAAATGTATATGTAAAATATCATCATTAACTCAGTAAGTCATAAATCAAACTAGTTTTGTAGACAGTATTTAAATCAAATTATTAAAATTCTTAATTTTTATTTTTAATTTTTTAAATTTTTAATACATTTAAAAATATATATTAAAATATATTTAAATATATATTAAAATATAATTGAGATCACTCTCCCTCGGGTCTATTTATCTCACTTAATAATTGATACTGTCTATCAAAAATTCAAAATCATTCATTTTAATAACTATGTTTCTTTATAAGCATGTATCACAATTTATGAAATCACTCTCCTACTGATAAACATTGAAGTTGTTTCCAATTTTTCCCTAATTTGGAAAATACTGTGGAGAATGCTGTGGTAGTTGAAATTTTTACTGCACTGTAATTATTATTTTTTAAGAGAATCATATGAAAGAATATAAATTTGCTTTAAGGCTCTTGATAAATCTAATGCAAATGCTAGACGGAAAGGTTTATAAATTTACTCTTGCAGGAGACTGTTACAAAGTTCATCTCCTTGCAACCTTACCAGCACCATCATCACATCACCTCAGTAATGCAGTCGGCTACACTGCTTAATGATCACACCACTCAATGAGTTACGAGAGACGCGGTTAAGCGAAGTTTAACAGCACGTTTTAATTAAAAGTAAATTAGGAAATCTAACCTTGCATGTATTGCGCTCAATTTCTCGTTGCCTCTTTTCTTGTTCTTCCAATTCTCTCTCTCTCTGCACCAAGTTTTTAATATGTTCTGGATACTCATCTACTTCTAGAAATTCTATTAATGGTAAAAACAGGGTAAAACAGTGCCACTGAGACTGATCTTCCTGTATACAATTTTGTTCTACTGTATTTCCAGAGAATATACTTCTACTACAGCTGTTATTAAAATTTACTTCAGTTACATCAATCTCTCAATGTGGAACACAAACTTCTTCCAGACAAGGGTGAAGAGGTAGTTAATAATGACACATGGTTAGGTCTCAAAAAAGCCGAATCTTTACCTATATACTTCTTGGCTCCTGACAACTCTAGCATGTAAATTAAGATTTTTAGAGTGAAAAAGCCTCCCTTAAACTTGAAAATAAAAGCACTTCTGATTTAAAATAGTGCTATCACAAAACTGTGCAAACCTTGGGCAGGTTTACTTCCCCAACCTTGGCTTTCTTCAGCTAATTAATAGCACCTTCCACAAAGAGTTATTACCTGGGTTATAATGAAATGTAATAAATACTGTTGGTACTCTATTACTACAAACGGTATTTATTTTATTATTATTCACTAATATCATCTTTCCTTTGTTCTCAAAGTAGTCTTTTAGCTGCCTTTTTTAATAAGGGAGGCACAATTCTTTTTTTTTTTACTTATTTACTTATGGCTGCACTGGGTCTTTGCTGTTTTGCCTGGGCTTTCTCTAGTTGTGGCGAACAGGGGCTACTCTTTCTTGTTGTGCATGGGCTTCTCATTGTGGTGGCTTCTCCTGTTGCAAAACACAGGCTCTAGGTGCACGGGCTTCAATAGTGGCAGCACGTGCGCAGGCTCAGTTATTGCAATATGTGAGTGTAGGCTCAATAGTTGTGGCACACAAGCTTAGTCACTCCATGACACATGGAATCTTCCCAGACCAGGGATCGAACCCATGTCCCCTGCTGTGGCAGGCGGATTCCTATCCACTGTGTCATCAGGGAAGTTCCCAGCTGCCTTCTAATCAAAGAACTTCAAATGTAACTCGAAGTGTTAGAAGTATGAGATTATGACACTGTTTAATAAAGCCAATGATTGCTGGGCATTAAAAAGATAGAACAATTTATATTTTTTAAAAAATCATTCCTCTTTGGAAGGCAAAACTCCACTGTTTTTAGAAATGAGCTCTAATTTAAAAAATATTCCGCATTATACATACAGTGCCCCCTAATGCTTTATCACAAAACTAGAGTTGGGGGAGCAGAAAAAAGAAAGTTGAATTATTGCACTACTGAAAACATGGGACACTGAGTGCCACAGAAGATACATGAACTATAATCCTGGTCCTATCTCCAGACAGTTATGACCTTGGACAAGTCACTCTTCGGGTATAGTTTCTTTATGTGTAAAGTGAGAATGGACACTTCTACTCTGAAATCTCTATTCTGAAATGAATTCTCATTGTAATTTCTTTTTTCTCTTTCCTATAATTACATTATAAATTATTGAAGAGCCCTTATACAGCAGTCCCTGAATCATATCATTGGTGAAAAGACAAATAACTCGTAGGCCCTGCAACAACTGAATTCATAATTTCATGAGGGTTTAAGAAAATGTAAACAAAAACATTAATTAGACTGCCTAAAAGACTTACTTATAGTATGGCAAATTTCTAAACAAAGGAAATATGTTGAAATCAAAGACAATGATTATATTAATTGTGAAAATATAAGCAGTATATCACCTGACTATATATCTCTATGTACACACACACACATCATACACCTATCTGCAAATACTGTTTCTGTCAAGATCAGAGTTAGCAAGAAAATATAGGAACTGTAATTTTTTAAAGTAGCAATTACAAAAGGAAAAAAGAAAGGCAAATCCACATGCTTTGTATACAGCATTATTTTTAGGATTCTTAGTAAAATTAAAATATAATAAAGGACGCATACTCGACTCTTAAAATTTTACTTGCTTTTTAAGCAAATAAGCAAAGATATTTAACTCTAGTATGAAACTAAATGCTTAAAATTTTATCTCAATTTTCTATAACAATGCTATAAAATACTTAAAAAAAAAACCTATAACATCCCCATTTTACATTTGTGGAAAGTAAGACTTAGAAAAGTTAAATAAATAATTTCCTCTGGGACATGCAAATTGTGAGTTATGATGGCTACACAGATAAGGGACTGTCATCACTGCACCAAACTACACAGAATACAATCTTATTGGAAATAAATATCCAATGTACATAATGCAGAGGAAGTTAAGTTTTGTCTCTTAGTGTGTTACAAAGAAAAGTTCAACTTTTTCCCAAATGCTTTTACCAATTAGTATTACCTCAAAACTATCTTTATAATTAATTCTTCTACACATAAAAAAATTTAATAGTCCTATCATTCAAAAGTAGTTATCTGGGTTTATAAAGCTTGCAAAAAAAAAAATTGTTTAAAAACACAAACAAAAATCAAGTAACTATGTCAACATACTTGCATTTCTTGCTGGGTCCTTCAGCCTGTATATCAGCATATATGCATTTGTGGAGCTAGCAGAAACATAAAAATGATTAATGGGGACAAAAAGTCGACTGTAAAGGTTCCATTTCCTAGCATCAAATTTTTACTTTAAATAGAAATTTTTTCATTGTTTCAAAAAATTAAAAATAATGTGTTCTTGAACAGGTTCAGATTTAAATGTTCTTGGCAAAAAGACTACTTTGACATATTTAGGAGAAAATCCTCTGTCTTCTCTTGGTAACACAGTAAAATCTTCAAAACACCTTTGTCCTTGAATGACAGTCAAGGAATGACTGTCCCTGAATGACAGTAGTCCGCAAATTTTTTACTGAAAAGGGCCAGATGGTAAAGTCATAGGCTTTGTGGGCAGCTCTGCTGTTGGTGGGAAAAGATGAACATACAGTATTTAAAGCAACGAGCATGGTGGTGTTTCAATAAAACTTTATTTTCAAAAACTGCAGGCAGGCTGAATCTGGCCCATAGGTTACAGCTTGTCGACCCCTGAGTTAAATCTTTTTAATGCATAAAATGCTGAAAAGCTTGTAATTCTAATTTATGAACAGTAAAACTAGGAAGTTATTTACCTTGCAAAAGCACTGGAGTAATATCCTCTGCTTCCTGAAGATCCACCGTGTGTTTTCTTAATGTCCTCTTGTGTTATCTAAAAGTTGTTACAGTACTTACTTTTTTTGGTACGATCTAATACCTTTATGTCAATATGAATTCAAGTTTTAACCTCAGAGTTAAACAGACCACACAGACACCATTTCTCAAAATGTAATCATAATCAGTGGCTACTAATGGTCAGTCATTTCTAGTCCTCTTAAATAGGCAGCCCACATGAAGGCTCAAGCCAAGAAGAAAACTGGGGATCTATCTCTACAACACTCAACAAGCTCAAAATAAAACAAAACAAGGAGATAACAATAATAAACAAAGGAAATTTACTGAAAACAAAAGACTGATTAGGTATGTGTCTTAAAATGCTTCACTGGACAGACTGTCTCCCATTTTTAATAAACCCTTCTACTGATGAGAAACATCCCTACTCCTGTCTTTCAGAATAATAATCTTAAAAAAATTCCTCCTTACCCTGCTGACATGTTGATCATTGAAGCTGTACCACTGGTCATCACTGAAAGACTTAATGCAAGCATAATAATGGCCACCAGCAGCACTCCCTGAATGAACCATAACGGAGAAGAGCTCGTAGATCAAGGAATTCTAAGGGAAAAAAAAAGTAACTCAGAGCAGAGGAAAAACACAAAACTGTAATTTGTGTATTTCTTATTCTCTACTAAAACACAGTGAGGTAATATGTTAGTTGTCTTATGTATTTATGGCAAATCAACTTTTCTCCAAGATCATTAAAATGGTAATTCACCACTTAATTTTATATACCACAAGTTTCATTCAATATATTCCTTCACATTTTAATTATGCTGTCACCTTTAGAACAATGCATAACTGAGATATAAATTTATATATTTATGAGATATAAATTTATATATTTATGTAAAAAGAAGGAAATAGCCTGAAATTTTAGAAGCAGATGCTTAACACAAGACTATTCTGATATGCACATCAAAATCAATACATCTCAACATTTTTAAAAATTCAAGTAAGATGATTTTGAACATCTTCTGATGTATTTATTATTTCTCTCTATATAAATATATATATATATATATAAATTCTAATGTATTTAGTATTATCTGTGATACACTAATCTATTGATTTGATGTCTCTCAGGTAGGCAAAGCTGGTTCAACATTAGAAAATCAACCAATGTAAACCAGGCTAAAGAAGACAAATTATATGATCATAATCAATTGAACCCAGAACAGCATTTGACAAAATCCAAACCCATCCATGATAAAGACTCTCAACAAACTAGGAAGGGAGGAACATCCTCAAATTGATAAAGAACATCTACAAAAAACCCCATAAAATCTATGAAAGAGCCTATATCATATTCAATGATGAGAGACTGAATACTTTCCTCCTGAAAGTGGGAATAATAAGGCAAGAGTGTCTTCTCTCACCATTCCTATTCAACACAGTATGGGAAATCCTATCCAGTGGAACAAGACAAAGGGGGAAAAAAAAGACAAGACATAATTGTCTATGTACAAAAACCAGGCAAGGGATGGATTTAGCTCTTGAGTAACAGTCTTCCAACTCTTGCTTGAAAGCAATGATCTTTATACTAAGTTATGATGTATCTGCTACATTATTCATCACAGCAATTCATACTCATCTATCTGCCCTGAAAGAAACAGGTAATTTTAAAAGGTAAAGAGTAGTGGTAATGGTGATGAGAATAACAGTCTTGGTCTAAAGACATTTTTATCCAAGTGAAACTCCATTCTTAAATACCGCCTTAAAAAGCCTGTATTTAATACGACTGTGTAAGACTTGAATTCATGATCAGTCTTCACACTGGTGATTCATTATTCACACCATGCTCAAGACATTTGATCTGTAATTCTACCCTCAAAAAAGTATACGACACAAATGTGAAATAGTTTGAAAAATCTTAAAAATCACTGACCTAGTAACAAAAAAAATTCTATCCTAGATATTACTCAGTCTTGTCGTTTTTAAATTATAATCCATGGAATTATACCATTTTTTGAAGTCCCTTAAGGGCTGTCATAGGGCAGGGGAGGGAAACTGAGGAGTTCCCTATCTAAAAAAGATTAATTCTCTTATTGTTTCAGAAAGAATTCTACAGCCAGAATTTTTTAAATGAACAAATCTAGCCTAATGCTTTCAATTTGCTATATGAGAAAACTGATATAAGATTTAGAGCCTTGCTGTTACTTCAAGGGCCAGTTACAGTTCAGTGTCTCAGAAGTCAACGCTCCCACAAGTAAGTAGTTTTTCCTAAAGTTTAATTTCCTAAAGTTTAATTTTGATCACATATATGCCTAAAAACAGTAACAATTAAATTTCTTTAAGAAAATTATAATAGCAGCTCAGCAATTACTTTATTTTGTCTTTCAACTAAAAACCACAAATTATAAAATACCTTCTCAAGTCCAGGTTTTGGAATCTTTTCAGCTCCGCTGTTGTTTTCAAGGCAGATCCCTTCATCAACACCGTCGTCATTAGAGAAATCGTTGCTCATCTGATCACTGTGACAACTGCCTTCATTTTCTGCTCCACTGTCTGTGCAGCTCTCAGTCTGTGGAGACTTCTTAATAAAACACAATTGTCTTACAATTATAAGGCAAATAAAGGGAAAATGTAAACCTTTTAATTTATATGCTGTCAACTTCTTTGCAAAATTTAAGACACTACTGCTAATAAAAATACTTATTCTACTTTAAACAAATTTATTTTCTGTTAAAAAAGTGAGACCTCAAACAAAAAACTGTATTTTAAAACCACTTCTGTTAACATCCTTATTAACATCCTCTATTAACAAATTATTGATTCAGAATTCTACTAAACCTCATTTATGCTTACAGCTGCAAAGTAATAGTATAAAACTATCATTTCTTTCATCAAAAACCATAAAAGCAGAGAACCTAAGCTCCAAAGTGAGCTTCTGTTGTTCTCAAATCCCAAAAGAATACCATCTCCTTTCTTGAACAAAAAGTTCAATTCAGTTCAAAAAAGTTCAATCACTATGCTAGGTATTACAGACAATTAGAAAGAAAAACAAGATACTGTCTCTCTCAAGAATTTTATACTCCAGTTATAGGAGGCAGAAATGCAACAACAGTACACAATACTTTTCTATACTTTTATGATTTTTAAATCTCTTTCAGACAAATTTAACTTAAAGAATTCTTCCTAGAAATCCTCAAACAACTCCTTCCTCCCTTCTCCTTAAATATTTTAAATAGAGTTTTAAAACTGTTCTCTAAAATGTAGGCCCTTGATAAGTTTAAGGCACTGCATAGAAGTTCTTGAATTAACCAAGCAATATGTAGTAAGTACCAACTTTTTGCCAAGAATTTTTTTGTAAGGATTACATCTAACATATAGTCTTCATTCTTCAAGAAAGTCTGGTTCAAGGAAAAATGGAAATGAAAACCAACTTTAGAATTCTACACAAAGTTCAAAGAGCTCATTCCCAAAACCTCTTTTAACTAAGCCAGAACACCTACTCTTCTCCCAAGAAATGGACCTATAACTTCCTCAAAGTTCCTGTCAAACCTTCTGTCTCAGTTTTTTTCCCTTGGAAAAGACTTCCTTTTACAAGAACTACATTAGGAATATAAGAAGACCAATCTAATACTTATCTTTGAGTAGGAAATCTCCTTTGAAATACTCCTTTGGTATACTATGGATAGATTTCCTAGCTTAAGCGCAAGTGTTTGAGATACTGTTTCAAATTAAACCTTTCAAAATTATTACCTGGACACAGGTACCATTCAAATGAACATTTACTCTATCTAAGGCACTCTCTTCTTAGAAAAGCTATAAAAATCAATTATCATCCTTACTTTACTACAGACAGGGAAAGTGAAGCTCAGAATATAATTTGACTCTTAATACTTAAGAGCATAAATAAAACTTGAGAATGTCTGAAATTATTTTTGAGCCTCTGGGAAAAGGCATTTTTTAACTACTGTGATGAATTCCAAGCAGAAAAAAATGCTTTATGGCAGTTTTGAGAATAAGAAAGATTTATCACTCTGTAACAACTATGTTAAGTGACTGTACATATTCCTAATAACTAAATCAGAAGAGTTTCCAAACAAATAAGAGTGGGACATTATGAAGCCTTTACTGGATAAGGACAGAGGAACCAGAGAATTTGGGGAGGTCAATGAGTAGAAGAAATTAATTAGCATTATCTGTGCCCTCAAAGTCTCATTCTCAAACTATATTTAAGTTTTTTATCTTAAAAGCTTTAATTAAAAAACTAATTAAAAATATCTTTATTATCTAGCTTTATAACCTAGCCAATTTATGATCTGGTAAACCTTAAGTGGCTTCCCTGGTAGCTCAGTGGTAAAGAATCTGCCTGCCAATGCAGGAGACATGGGTTCAATTCCTGGGTCGGGAAGATCCCTAGGAGAAGAAATAGCAACCCACTCCAGTATTCTTGCCAGGAAAATCTCATGGACAGAGCGGCCTGGTAGGCTGCAGTCCGTGGGGTCACAAAGAGTCGGACATGACTTACTAACTAAACAACAACAAAACCTTAAATGAGAACCCAGAAAACTTAATGCTTGAAAAAGTCACTAAGACAAAACAAGAAATTTAAGGCCACATTACCCATTTTGCTTGTTCATTCAATATACTGTATTTGTTCTCTGTTTATCATGTGCCAGAAACACAAATGCAGCCCATCTCTAGACTGCTATGTTTCAATAACCAAGCAAGTTATGAAATATAAGGGACTGGTCATCCAGTGGCTAAGATTTCAAGCTCCTCCTGCAGGGGGCTTGGGTTCGATCCCTGGTCATGGAATCCCTCATGCTGTAACTAAGATCAAGGATCCCACATGTTGCAGCCAAGATCTAGCACAGTCAAATAAATAAACATGCTTTTTAAAAAAGAGAAAGTTATGAAACATAAGATTATCACTCAAATTAAATAAATAATTCTAGAGTTTAATATCCTTGTCTTTTCAAATACCACATTACTCTGATCAAAACTGAAGTATAATTTTTAAGTATTTACCTCATCCTCAACATCAATAAATGTACTCATATCTAGTTCCTCAGGAAATGTCATCCGATCATTCAGTTTAATCCTGTGCATGGTTGTATAATCAAAATCAAACCTTTTCAATTGTAAGGTCAGAAGATAAGGGAAATGCAAAAACCGAAGACCCTAAAAAAAAAGTGGGGAGAATCTACTGAATACTGAATATTATCTCAGATAATTAAGTCTTAATTTCTACATGGCATCTACCTTTCGTGCATCACACTTCTTCTTACAACGTTCACAAAAATATTGATTTGGGCCATCCAGGATCTCTGGCTGAATAAATGCATGCAATGCTTCTTCCTAGTTAGAAAACAAATTGTTGTATAATTATTGTGAAATATTATAATGTTAATGATAAAGTCCTGAAAATAAGAAAATTGTAATTATCAAAATACTCATAAACAGAATGGCTAGAAAATTAAGAGTTCAAATACAAAAAAGGGAAAAAAATATCAACAACAAAGTGATTTTATCATTATAAAACAGCAAAAAATTACTTTATTTCATTCTGTATGAGTGCTATGTTTCCTGGTCTTGCATATCAGTCATCTCTGCTTAATTTTCTTAGACTTTACATTGTGGTTTTTGGCTAACTAATCTAACAGATCCTATCTTTAGATAAAAAAGTAATTCCCCACTTAAAAAAGCAGTTGCATACGTCACTGCATTCTTATAAAAGGAGACTATTTTAAACTGCACAGTTAAAAACAGTGCTCTGAAGTGTACACTATCTGTACACTTTCTAATAGATTTTCCTTCATCACTATATTTAGGGTCAGTTAGTAATTCACCACTGTACTAATTAGAAAGATTGAAAACCACTGTGCAGCCATCTCACTGCTTGTCAGATACTGCTCCACTTGAAAATGTATGAGAGCTCCTGGACTGTTCACCTAGTGGAACCACATGGTTCTCTTTTTCTCCATACAGCTTTAAGACAGAAGCAAGAAACTTGTATGAATATTGTTGAAAAATCAGTAGGTATAAAGTTTTAAACTTTTCATCATTGACTTTTTGCAATTAAAAAAGTTTCAGTTAGTACAACATATATGATTGGCGATTCCCTGGCAGCATAGAATCGGCTGGCAAAGAATCTGCCTGCAATGCAGAAGATCCCAATTTGATTCCTGGGTCGGGAAGATCCTCTGGAGAAGGGATAAGTTAGATAACCACTGCAGGATTCTTGGGCTTCCCTGGTGATTCAGGTGGTAAAGAATGTGCCTGCAATGTGGGAGACGTGGGTTCAATCCCTGAGTTGGGAAGATCCCCTGGAGAAGGAAACAGTTACCCACTCCAGTATTCTGGTGAGGAGAATTTCATGGACTGTACAGCATATAAGGTGGGATTGCACAATTTCATTTGGTATCACTTTTATTCCTCACACATGGTCTAAGGACATGGTCTGACAATAGTTATTATATATCAAGAAAAAGAAGTGCAATCACTAAGACAAAATATCTTCAAAAATTTTTTTGCTATAGAACAAGTTGTTCCTCAAAAGATAAAGTGAGCTTGATCAGGCAAAATGGAGTTAGTTGTAAAAACAGCTACCAAGTGTATAAAATTCGCACAATGCTTGGTATAGCTCATTCTGGAATAAGATAAAAAAATTATGAAAAATACACAAAATGCTTCTAACTTCACACATCTCCTATTTTGTCCTCAGAACACAAAGAAGCATTAATAGGGTGGGTGAAGGGGACGAAATAGCTGGCTTTTCTCCATATATTCAAGCATTTTACAGGAGGTCATAGAAAAGAACACATTTAGAAAATGATTTTTTTCCCTTCTAGAGCATATTTTAAGTATGAAAAAGGCAAATTCTTCAAAAACAAAAGAGCAAAAGAAGATTTAAGAGCAATCACATCTATAGCTTAACACAGACAGATAAAAAATCAGTTGAGCTTTCCAAACGGCAACTGAATTGGTACAACACTTGATATATTTTTAAAAAAGGGAGAGAGTGAGAAAATTATGTAACTCAAATTCTACTTTATGAAGCTATTATGTATGTACTGATTTCTGGCTTATAGTTCACAGCCAGCGCTATAATTTTTAGAATTTAAAATCCAGAGAAAAGTTTGAACAGAAAATTCCCTTAAACATTTTACCCAGACTCACCAACTTTTAACCTTTTGCTACCTTTCCTTTATCATTCTCCCACCTACATTTACATCATGTGTTTTTTCAAACCACTTGAGAGCAGGTTCATACCCGCTTTTCCTGTTAATCTTCAATGTGACTTTTTAAGAAAAAGGACATTCTCATAAAAACAAAGGAGTTAATCAAATTCAGGAAAATGTCAGTCCATATTCCAATTCTGTCAATTACTCTAATAACTTCCTTTACAGTATTTCTCCCCATCCAGTACAGAATCAAATCCAGGAACAAAATCTGCATTTGGATGACTTCAGATTCATTTTATAAGAACAGTTTCAAAGACTTTCTTTCATGACATTAACAATTTTTGAAGAGGCCAGGTAATTTTATAAAATGTTCCAAAATTTGGGTTTGTTTGATGTTCCTCATGGTTAGATTCAGTTTATGCCTTCCTTACTATACTACCACCTAAGTAATAATGTATTCTTCAAAGGGTATCACAGTCAAAGTGCATGATGTCCTTAACATCCCTACTGGTGATACTAACTTCAACCACCTGGTCAAGGTGTTGCCCAGTTTCTTCACTATATGGTTATTACTTTTTCCTCTTTCCAACTAGTACGCAATTTGTAAGAAGACACTTGAGAGACCATACAAAAATACTGAGTCTTAACAAGTTTTCCACCTTGGTTTAGCATCCATTATTGGATTCTTGCTTAACCCATATTTTAATGTTTGTTTTACAAGTCAATTTAAAGATCTTTTACTGTTAATACGGAATTTAAGCCCATCCATATCTAATAGGACCAATGTTTTGCTCCATCTCAGTCACTATTGTGTATTAATATTTACTGTTTTTTTCTACACGGTGCTTTTCTTTGCTATTTTTCTACATTTTCTTTTGGTATTTAGGAAGGTTAGTAATTTTGTTCTAGTGTATTTATGTACACTTTTGCTAGTATTCTTAACCCTTCCTCCTCCTCAAGTTTTTAGTGTCTAGACTGCCTATTTTAAATGGTATCCTGGTCTCCCCCCATTTAACCGTCTATGACCTCATTCTACAACCCCTTCTCTTTTTTTCCTTTTTTAAGAGAAGCATTCTTTGCACATTAAGATACAGTATCTCATACTTTCTTCTATCATGTCCTCCCCCTTGTTTTACTTAGTCCTTATTCTACAATATATTAAATGCTCATGGTCCTTTTGCTGAAGCTTCCCCAGTGGTCTCTTGGGTGGGTAGAGCTCACCCTCTAATAAACTCAAGGTTTACAGATAAAATAATCAATGAGTCCCCCAATATTCAAAGTTTGATTTTCTACTGCCATAATAACTGAAGAAAAACTTGGCTAGATAGCAAATTCTTGGCTTACAATTTTTACTTTCTTGAAATTGCTATTCTGTTGCTATGACTTGCATGTTGCTCTTCAAAAATATGCCAGTCCAATTTATCCTTCAAGTTTAAAAGTCTATTAAATTATGTCTGAGTTGATCATTCCAGATCTGTTTTTCCAGGCATGGGGGTGGGGGGAGGGCGGGAATCTTGCAAAAAGTTGATTAAACTTCTCCAATTCCTAGAAAGTTTTCCTGGATTATAGTTTATAAGTTTTGCTCTACCGTGTTTTTATTCTTCACACAGTCCAATTATGTTGGATTTCCTCTGCCAGTCTTCCTTTACAATCATTTGCTTTGAGATCCTAATTTTTACTTTATCTCATTTTCTATGTTCTTCCTTAGCTTTCATTCCATCCTATTTTCTCTTTAGTATTTTATAACTAGTTCTTCATTTCTAATGTAGTTTCATCTTTTCTTCAATTTCCTTCCTGAATTTGATCAGCTCACACTGCATTTCTTGTTTTGTTTTTCTAATCCATTTCTCTCCTTAAATTTTTGGATACCAAGTTCTATTCTGCTTGCTTGAGAATACTTAGTCCAGAGTACTGTGTTACAGTATCCTATTTTGTGGTTATTTTTTTGAGGCTTACTTTTTCAGGGCTGTGTGTGTATGTCTACTTATTCATCAGCTGAAATGCTTTAATACATATATTCTGTTTTCTTTCAACAGCTGTGCTCTGTAAGTTTGATTTTTTCTCATAGTCATTTTGTGGGTGGCATTCTTTAGTTTGTGAGTATGTTATGTCAACTTAGTGAAGTGCAATTTTGTGAATGGGTAATGGTGAAGAAGAGGCTGGTGTCCCCTTTTCATTTTGCAGAATCATTCTCTTCTTGTCTTCTCACCGCTATGACTCAGAGGCATCATCCCTTTTTGGTTCATCTCCTTCTCTAGAAGCAAAATTCCTCCAAGGCTGTCACTTCCTTCTCACTCTAAAATTCCTTCTCTATAGCTCATGCTATAAACTACCAAGTCCCAGTCTGAGTTCACTATTTTGGCACATACTGCTGTACTTTCTCATTTAAGGGTATTTCATCTTCATTCAAGTCTTCCAATCCCCACTCCTCTGTTTCATGGAGTCTCTAAAGCATCCCATTCCATACTCTCCACACACACACACTTGCAACAATACTGGAAGGTCTCCTGGAACTTGATAATTTTGCTACTTTCAGGTAATTTAAAGTTCATATTTATTCTGTCTCCTAGTAATCCAAAAGGTATGGGTCAGTTGGGTTTTGTTAGTGTTCTTTTTGCCTGTGGTTTGGTGAAGACATGTGGGATTACGTATATTCAGACAGCGGAAATTATCCTTTAGATTCACAAACCAGTTAAAGCTATACTAATAATTTTCTTTAGTTTCCTATTCACTTTTTAAAAAGTTGCCAGTATTTATAAATAAAGATTAGCCAGCCATAAAAATTAGTTTCAATTCATCTGTTCATTCAACAAATAAAGTATGTATGGGCTAATGTGATTATATACATTTATCTTCACTTAATGTGATGAACTCCAGTACTTTGGCCACCTCATGCGAAGAGCTGACTCATTAGAAAAGACCCTGATGCTGGGAGTGATTGGGGGCAGAAGGAGAAGGAGACGACAGAGGATGAGATGGCTGGATGGCATCACTGACTCGATGGACATGGGTTTGAGTAAACTCTGGGAGTTGCTGATGGACAGGGAAGCCAGGCGTGCTGCGGTTCATGTGGTCGCAAAGAGTCGGACATGACTGAGCGACTGAGCTGCACTGAACTGAATGTGATGAGACAACAAAATCATGCCGAACTATATTTCAGATACTGAAAAACAA